GGGTAGTAAACCCAAATCGCCCATTATCTGGGTGGGCAACCGGGGAGACTTTTTTTTCTCCAACCCAAACAAAAAAAAAATACAAAAAAAACAAATAAAAAAAAAAAAAAAAAAAAAAAAAAAAAAAAAAAGAAAAATAAGTCAGGTTGTCAGGGCAAGAGTGAGTGCGTAGCTAGGTATGCAGAGTTTCAACTTACCCAGAGCACTAAGGACCAACGAAAGATGGGAAAGGTATTCCACACAACTTCCGACAACGCGGTTGCCAGAATCAAGTCGGCGGAGCGCATCAATCGCTCGATCGGTATAAGGTCGAGAATGGCCAACAACATTCCATGGTGTCATATCATATTCGCGCTTTTTGAGAGCCACAATAAGTGACCCAAAAATGACCAGTGCCGCATTAAATGCTACAAATCCCCATGAAAACCGTGTGAGAATGAGACTTGTGCCAAAGAGGGCAACCTAAGTCAGAGGCAAGATGGTGACTTACTGTAATAGAGGGAATAGTTCCATGCGCCCAGAAGCTCGCGCCGCCAGGCGTTGGAGGTCAAGATTCTATGTACTGTAGAAATGATCGATATGGCGGACTAAATGCAGCTTTCAACACTGCCGAGATCCATCTGGCCAAGTAGTTTCATGTCCTGACTTGTTATAGGTTCAGCAGCTGGGGAGGTTTCCATAAAACTTTCTAGACGGCGACGATGAAGCAGTATTTTGAGGTTGTTGTAGCGCATAGAGAGAACGATGTTGAATCGGTGTTTCAGTATAGAGTCTTCCCCCATCTTCTCCACGTCATCCGCTTCCATCGGACCGTCCCAAACTTGGAATCCTAATGATGGCAGCAATTGAAGACGCCAGCTGTTCAACTGAAGTTGGCATTTCAGGAGACACGAGGTTGACTCGGCAGCGTTGAAAGGAGCCTCAAACCCAAGGTTCTGGCCATAACAAGAATCCAAGACGCTGAACATAATGCTGTATAACTGTCTTCTCGAACATCAGTAAACACAACACCGATAGAAAGGGTGACGTGGCCTACATGGCGGCTGTGAAGAAAAGACCGTCCAACTGAGAGGAATTTCTCGCCTCGATGGTCGAAGTCAGTATCTGCATGTCAGCAGAAGGCATTTTCAATTTGACGTATGACTCCGGAATAGTGCAAGGACGTCCAAAAGTCATACTAAGGGAACTAAGAAGCTCGCGGTTAATTTACATCCACCATTACTATAGAGTAGTTTCTCACCGATCAAGAAGTATACAACCAAACCAAGTTCGTTTGCGAATCTCACACTCCAAAGAAGAGAATCCTTGGTTTGCATGTGGCGAGTGCAACCCGAGCTGGTACGCAACAGAGATGGCCAAACCATGTGTCGTCCATGCTTGAACAGATTTCTGAGTTCCTTGGAGATACTGGCCTAGAATAAGCAGGTATTGCACTTTATGGCTAAATGTTAGAACATCCACGTTGGCTGTTAAACTTGCGATTGTGGGATTTCCACGTACCCATCTCCAGGCTTGCATTGCGTCTAGATTCTCTGTCGCAAAGGCTATTGGCCCTTTGGTAGTAGATGTCGGATTGTTGTATGCGGATTTCCGCCGGGATATTATCCTTCGCCGACAAACTCGTTGAGATAGCGAGTATGATGTTGAGCAAGCCGAGCCAGGTCCTGCGAACTCCTTTGGAATTTTCTCTCTTCATCTGACGATATGTCTCACAGAATGAGCTTTCGTGGATGAATGGCAGAAGCTGCCCCGTTTTCTGGAAAAATTGCTGGATCAAATCCCAAGTGCGTTCCTCCGATGGCAATGCATACATGTCCACTCGTCCTGGAATAAAGGTGGTTAATTCCAAGTCAGTAGAACCGGCAGGACAAAACACAGGCTTAGAAACATTCACTATGCCCCGTCGCCTTTGTTCTAATGGAGATGTAGCAAAGATGGATCTGCCCTGAGAATTTACTGTTGCCACCGCTTGGGAAATGTATTGCAAAAAAGAGATATTAGACGAAGGCCCTGAAGATTTCAGTTTCACACTCGAATTGTGATGTAGCGAGGCGCATACCAAAGAACCCACAATCTTTTTCATCTGTGAATTTGATCGCGCCCATTCCATCTATCGAATTTTGGGAATTGTCAATATCCCCAAACTCAGCCGAAGTCTGACCGGAAGGTTCAAGTGTGTCGGCGTCAGACTGCAGTCTTTGTGTAGGGTGTAAATTGTCAGTCACACACGTGTCGCTCATGGGGATATGACAATCTCTAGGAGGTTGTATGCTGGGTGTTTGAGTTTTTTGTAATTGTTGGAGGGACTTTTCGATGACTTCAAGTCGGGTTTCGAGCTGTAAGATATAGCTGCAGACGCTGTTAGGATCTTTTGGAGTTTACACTACCGGGAATGTATTGAATATAAAAAAAAATTTGCAAAGAACAATACAACAAACAGATAGATACCTTTTCCCGACAGTCAAGTTGTTTGGTGTACCACCTTCGGGAAAAACACACTCGAAACCTAGCTCTTGGCATAAGATACAGGGCCGGTCGCCACTACACTTTGCGGGGGGGAAATGGTTAGTTCATGATTTGATCCCAATTTTTATTGGCATGTAGAATGTAATATATGCGGAAGAAGTTGAGCGAGTGTAGGATTAGCGGAATACTCACCCGTGACTTCCTTTGTCGACATGACCTACAGGCCAAATTCACCCTTTGTCTTTTGGCTGTTGGTGCCCCAGAAGACGACATTGATACTATGATCTCCGCACTGATAAACAGATAGTAAGTGATCGCTGTACTGTTGTAGAGATCCTCAATGCTCTCAATTAGAAAGCCGAGGGGCTCGGCTGGGGGATTGGTCTTCCCGGGTACGGTTACCCTCAGCTACCAATCATGAAGGTCACTTAGTTACATGAACGGATTTACATACGAAGATGTGCTCTTTTGCTATGTTACCAATGGCATCAGAACAATTGGATTTCCTACCTCTCACATACTTGCAAATACATTACCATAATCTGTCACTCTGCGGCATTGGCGTTCTCTACATTTATAAACTCGAGCCAACTTGTCATAGGACGCAAGGAAGCACAGTATAGCATTTCTCCCTAACTCCGCGGTCTCGGGCAGCCTAGGGCTATCCCCACTAGAATCTCCGAATTGGAGGAGCCCGGAATGTGGTTCCGATCCTCGGGATCCTCTCGGCAGTCAGACCCTAACTCCCCGAACTCAGCGTCAACACAAAAAGATATATTGCCACCGATCTCTGAAAGATATGACATGGACAGAAAGCTGATCGAGTTGCTCCAGCTAGAGGCCACCCCATTGGTTGTTGCCGCTGCCGTTGCAAGGAAAGACTGATAAGAAAGGAACCCCCTTCAATCTTATTTTCTCAAGGCCCTCTATTTTCTATTTTCATTTAATTATTTAATTTACACATATCGATTCCTTTTCCTGATATCCCTGGGATGTATACCCAAAAAGAACCTTCCCTCCACCTGCAACTTTACTTGCCAAAATGGATACATAGCCAATCCAGTAAAACCCCAACATCTACCCATTATTACAATAGATGATAAGCAAAAAGACAAAAACATACAACAGTGAGGATTCGCTGGTGGTCACCCACCCAACTACTAACTCACCGGCGTGTGGCTTGAGTACGGCTGAGCGGACGGGAAGCCCTATTTTCCACACCCTATGGTCGTATGTATTTGATACGGCACTGGAGGGGAACATATAATAGCTGAGAACTATAGACTACCGTGGGTGGGATGGTAAGACGGCTTATATCTCATCGTCAACGTTAGGTCAGGTGACCTCTGCCCTTAGATGGTCATAGTGTCAGATAGATACATCAAGTGCTCTCATGTCTCGTTAAGCTTCATTTCCAAAAAGTTATTAATGGCGGTCCACGACTGAGCCCACCTGCCTTCTGGTCCACAACGGGGCTAAGATAAACATGCTATTGCTATACTGAGCAAACAAAAACAAAAACATACAACAGTGAGGATTCGCTGGTGGTCACCCACCCAACTACTAACTCACCGGCGTGTGGCTTAAGTACGGCTGAGCGGACGGGAAGCCCTGTTTTCCACACCCTATGGTCGTATGTGCTTGTGTTAGCATAGATATGATAGAAGACGCCGTAAATTCCATCATATTGCCTCGGTACACCTGCGCGGAGACATTTTAAATTCATTCGACACCGGACCGGGAAGAACGTACCTGAAGACAGGACTGCAGGGGACGAGTGCTTTGAGCAGAACCTCCGCGAAGACATACCGCATAGCTCTTAAGGAGGTGTGCATAATGTTGAGTTTGCATTTTGGATAAAGGAAGACAGTACATTAGTCCGACATTTAAGGTTCCCACTAGAGGTTGAAAGAAAGCTTGGCAATTCCGGCGGGACTCCGGCGGGGGTGTATATACATGCTTGATCTTTGAGACATATGAAAAGAAATATATTTGATTCAAATCATGGTTGCTTCTCCCCAGAGCACTTAGAGTCAGAGAATGACATGTTCATGTTCTCTCAGCAGATCAAGCAAGTGATACACATCTACGTGGACTAGGAACGATTAGGAGCCATTTGATGAGACCCAGTGCTCGGATGACTAATTTTACTTAGAGAATAAGTGATCCAATCGTGTCTCACCCTTTTTCCAACGGAAGAAACAACATCAAGTTCAAGAAGACCAGAAACACAACGCTCCAGACAATCCTTTCGCGAAGCTCTTTATCACATAACCTTCCCAAAAATGGATTTATACTTGCAGATAGCCATCCGCTCTACCTGAAAATATGAGCATACACTCATTTTGCCCTGTCAACCCACCCAATTCACACAAACGCGGGGTCGCCAAGCCCCTAGGCAAAAAATAACGCATGCACCCATCCGCAATGAGCTCATCCCAGCGAAGTGAGGATGCTCTGAGTAAGAGAGGAGGTATGATAGGCCAGTAGGCTATTTACAAAGTGTCTGCCTGAGGTCTCATTCGTGTATGGTGGAAGCGATGGGCCGAGCGCACTCCTGGTTCCTTTGATGGTGAAGTGGAGCATCTCAAAAGCTGGGGATTCTTCAGCCGAGTGGATCTGTCACTTCTCGGGTTTTGCGACATACTTTGACTTGCTTACTTGTACTGGCACAGAACCTCGGATTTTAGGGGGAGGTTTACTTTTGGGTATTCATATAGCGACTTTCGATGTGTGTATCTTGCTAGAAAAATATATGGATTTCGCTCGATTTACACACTCATAATTCAAAGGCGCGTATCGCTCCGTGGCTGGGGCTAGGCAGGCCTAGTTTACTTATAATATGTTCATCGTAATAGTATTGATTTAGGGTAAAGTAGCCCTTGAAACAGAAATGCCAGGTCTATCTTGCCATCCTGTGACGAGGATACCAACGGCCGACCGAATAAAAGAAAGAATAGCCCAACCTGGGACCTGAAGAATCCCCCCATCTAATGAGCAGACACGGTGGTTGTCAATAGATACATGGGGGTGAGGAATAAAAGGGGTATGTATGTGAGGAGTAGTGGAAAACATGTGTGGGAGTTGTAGAATCATGCAGTCGAGTATAAGTGACTCGAACAGGCAGATAACTGGACTGGTCCATCTACCTAGCAACACGCTTCAGATATCGCATCGTGAGATAGACCGCTGCCATGCTGGTGTACAGACCGCCGCCAGCAGTGATCCAAACGGGACGGTGAACATTGAGGGAGGTGCGCAGGAGGTTGGCTTCTCTGGGTTGTCTCTCTCCTTTGAACAGTGTTAGTATCCGAATATCAGGAGTAAGGTTAATGAGACGGTCGGAAGACAAGGGGTAAGAACATACCCTGCTGGAAGATACGCTGGCGTAGGTTATTCAGACCCTGCCTCGAGCGGGCAGGGAGAGCCTGCAGCTGCTGCATAATAGGACCCATGGCTGCCGACATCTTGGATGTAGTGTGTAGGATAGAGTGTTGATGGAAAGGTCAAGTTGTTGCTGTAAGTGTGATGGAGTGGAGAGTTTCTTGAGAAGAAGAGAAAGTACACAAGCAGTGCGAGCGACATGAAAGAGATTATATACACTGTCATCATCTGACTGAATGCGGGGTTGGGAGTCAATCAGGACTTAGGACTGAGTGAAAAGTGACATCTAGGACATCCCTGTACGGTGGCAAGCCAATGGTCGCGATGCGTCACATAACCTTGGAGTCGTCAAATGTTTCAGGATACATTTGTCTCCCTGTGGTTTAAGTGGATGTCATGGTCATGATATCTACCTCGAATTACATATCTGTGAATATTGAAGAGACTCGACACATAGGAATACTGAAAACACTCTAGCAATTGATAGTGGGAAGTCCCAGTCGATCATAATGGGGCCGCATTAGCCCTCTCCACCACATTAGCCCTGTTGTGTCGAAGCGGTCTTGATTGGCCTTGACTATATGGGATTGGTCAGGTTTGGCATCACGGCTTGACCAAAAGTACTACGGATACATGTATACCAGGGCAATGTAAGTACCTGTGTACCCTCAACTACTCACAGCTGTGTATATTGTGACACACAGACAAATAGGGGGCTGTTCGGGTGAGATGATCATCCTGCTATAGGCGGGTTCCCCTGGAATGCAACATAGATATGATACTAAATGGGAATATAGTATCTATAGCCTTATATCTGCTTTCATTATTGCCATGTGCATATATGTGTTATGATAATCCGATGGAAGTGGAATGTTGTGGAGTCCGGAGGATTTGGCCCGGTCCCACCCAAATCCGGGGGATTGCGGGGTTAGTGGGCCTGGCTGAGCTTAGATTGACTTGGACTGAAGTCCTTCAGCTTTCGACGGGACAGTTGCGCTGGGCTGATCTCACCTCTCAATGTCAGTAGAGAAAGATTGATAGCTTTTGCTGCCATCCGCAAGGATAGCAATTGAAGAACGGATACTTCATCGCCCGATCCTTGGTAACAGGAAAGCCTCATGCAAGTATACATCACCTGACATGTACCTGTACCTGACCAAAATAGGTATTAGGGCAAGGGTAAGGGCGGTCACAAACTTGACTCAACAAAAAACCAAACGAGAGACTGAGCCCAGTACGTCAAATTTCCTGTGCCCTCTACAAGGTCTCAGATCCCAGCACCCCTAAGAAAGTATCTCAACCTTTCATACAAACCGCTTAGCAATCAATCGTCCTTTAATATTGGTTTCAATGCTTATCGAACCGAGCCTGAAGCAACTATATTTGATGTCATATTGATCTGTCATGCGTGCCCCATTACCATAATGCAATGCAGCTGAACACAGGCAAAATGTTCCGAAAGGGAAAAAATGGCTCAGGGGACATCAGCTCAAGGACCAAAAATTCTTGATTGGTCATGGATTTTACAAAAGTACTTGTTCCCACGGGTCTACAGCCTTGGAAATCCCGCAGCCCTCGCCCAGGGAGACGATCAGTCGCCGCTTGGGATCGGAAGAAATACAGTGAGTATACGGGAGGAAGCCAATATCAAAATCTCGCAATCTGTGATTCTACTGGATGAAGATGTCAGATCGCGCAATCCTAGAGACGTCCGGGGCCATGATCTCCCGGATCATATGCAAGTGATCGGCCAAGGAAAGTCATTGATTGTTTCGAGCTCGAAGTTTCGCGAGGGGACCCCCAAACTTACAACCACTCCGAACTCGGAGTTTTACCATCAGCCCTTCCTAAATGGGATCTGTGCAGGCATTTCTCATTTTCTTCGTCGGGACCTCCTCCGGCCGGAACCTGGATGCCGGCTTCTTCCACTAAGCGTACTGTGCCAGGAGGCATGTCCAAGTCTGCATGTACAGAGATATTGAGATCTAGGTCTAGTCATCAGGTCGGCCTGATTAGGATCATACTTCGTGGATAATACTTGCCCCTGGGATTCGTGCGACTCTGGGATCGAACTCATGTCACTGCTACTGCTGCGGACCCTCCCAGGGTTATCTCCGGGATGCTCAGCCACGTTGATGCTTCAGCATGATAGGCTTGGACTTATTGGAGCTTGTCTATCATCCCTGAGGATCCGTGCTGGTGGTCTCGAAGCGCCACCCTCTACGCATCACAGGGTCGAGAAGAGACAGCCATTATTGATTATTGATATAGACAAGAGGCAAAATTACGACGTCATATTTGGAGATGCAGATGGGGTTTGGGGAGATCAGCAGTGTGTAGGTAGCACAACAGTCCAAAGCATAGCCCGCGTATGCGAAGTCCTGGCCCGGGCGTATAGAATGCAATAGGGATATAAAATCCGGTTCTTGTCGGAGCTTCAATTGGATAAGACAGATGTCACTCTGTCAGTCCGAAGTAAAAGCCTCATACGTCTCTAGGAATTACAGTTCCGTATAAAAATAAAGCACGACATTCCAGAAGTAGTGGTCTGAGCAAGTATAAATAGGAGAGGCATGATGGAGCATTACAGGAGCTATCAATATACTGCTATTGTCCATATCCTCATAGGACATACCTATAACAAATATCTCTACTTCATACCACATCCTTTTTCACAGCTACACTTATCACCATGTACGATAAAAGCATTGACATTATTCGACCCGGAGCTCTGGCTCATGGAAGTAGCGTATCCGAATATACCACGCCAGTCTTTCCTATCCAACATTGTGGTGGCAGGACTAGCCCGGAGGGTATGGGTCTGGCTGGTCTCTTGCAGCAACAAATCCGCAAAAATGGAGCGGTAACCGCCATCCAGGATTCCACGGATCGGCTCTCCTATGCCGAGTTACATCAAAAGGCCCTCGCACTGGCAATCCAGATTCAGGCGGGCAATCCAGGAGATACATCGCCGGTAGGCATTATCATCCCTCGGGGGCTCAATCACGTCCTGGGTCAAGTTGCCGTCATATATGCCGGTCGAGTTTGTGTTCCTCTCGATGAGAAACTTCCCGACAGTCATTTGGCCAGCATGCTCGAGAACCTGAAATCGGCCCTGGTCCTCACCAATGCAACGCACCAGCACCGATTGCCAACTTTTCGCCACACCCTAGTCGATCATAGCAAGGTCCCTCTGATGGCTGTGGATAGCTTCCATCCCGTCTTTCGCAGTGCTTGGACTTCTTCTCACATACTGCATACCTCGGGCACGACAGGCAAGCCCAAGGCCGTGGACTCAATGGCGGAAGGGCTGATCAATCTCAGCTTTGATTCGAGCGATTTCGTTCGTCACGGTCAACGGGTTGGCCATGGCGCGAGCGTCCATTTTGACAGCGCTCTGGTCGAGATTTGGACCACTCTCCTCCGTGGAGCCACCGTGGTGGTCATCCCGGCAGAGACGGTGCTTGACCCGATGGCTCTGCGAGCCTTCGTGAAGACTGAGAAGCTCAATGTGCTACAGCTCACCACTTCTCTCCTCACAGTCACTGCATTCGCCTGTTCGGATGCCTTTTCCACACTAGATACACTTCTTACCGGCGGAGAGGCGATTAATTGCGATATAATACGGTTAATCTTCGATAACGGGGCCCCAAGACGCATCATTAACGGCTACGGTCCCACGGAATGCAGCATCTACACTCTTTGGCATGTTATTAGTCAGAACGAAGCTCTGCGTGGCGAAATTCCGGTCGGTAAGCCGATCGGAAACTTGGAGACCTTCCTAGTTAATGAGAAGGGACATTTGGCTCAGCCGGGAGAAGTGGGCGAACTGCTGGTAGGCGGGCCTGGTGTAGCTCGTGGCTACATTGGCAACCCCGAGAAGACTGCCCAGTCCTTCGTGACAATGCCTCAACTCAAGAGTCAGACCACTCGAGGTATTGGCCATGTGTACAGGACAGGAGACCTTATGCGGACTGATGAGAATGGAGTGCACTTCTACCTCGGTCGAAAAGACAATCAAGTCAAGATCCGCGGCCAACGGGTCGAGCTCGAGGCCCTCGAGGCGAGCCTACTAGAGACCCGGCTGGTTAGTGCGGCAGTAGTAATCAAGATCACCCCGGATGAAGTCGAAAGAGGCCAGTTTCTGCTGGCTTTCTGCATTCCTACCACACATGAGTCCACAGAAGGAGCGATCCTCCGAGCCTACATCAGCCAATTTCCTCATCTGATGGTGCCGCGCATCCAACTAATCAGCGACCTGCCCTTGAGCTCGACCGGCAAGGCGGATCGCAGAGCACTGGAGCGCCAGTGGTACGAGCAGATTGAGCGCTCGCGGGATTTTGCCGCAGCCCTCGAGATTGATTCGGATGATGTAGCTGTCCAGGTGGAGCGCATTTGGCTAGATGTCTGCAGCTTACCGGCGGAGCATCTGGTACCCACCGCCGATTTTGTAGCCCTTGGAGGCAGTTCCATCGTGGCTGTCATGATGATCACCCGCATCAACCAAGCGCTCGGGGTTTCGATGCAGGCTCGCATGTTGTATGAGAACTCGACATTCGAGCAGTTAGTCCAACTGGTGACGCGGCTGCAATTGAATGGGGACGATCTGTCGGCCCAGTCCGAGCAGGAAATATGGCTGCAAGATGCCCAGCTGGGCCAGTTCCTGAGGCCACAAGACACTACAATACCCCATTGGCAGAGCCCCGATGAGGGCCGGGTCTTCCTTACGGGAGCTACCGGGTTCATCGGAATATTTCTGTTAGACGCTCTGGTGAAGCGGCCAGAGGTTGTGCAAGTTGCGTGCCTGGTGCGGGCGCAGGACGAGACAACTGCCCTGCGCCGTATTCAGGAGACGGGGGGAAAGTACGGGCTGTTTCTGGACCTCCGAAAGGTCATTGCAGTCCCTGGTGATTTCTCTCTTGCTAAACTCGGGCTTGACACGACCCAATACGACCACTGGGCATCCTGGGCGAGTGTTGTCTTCCACCTGGGAGCCAAGGTCAGTTACGTGGCTCCGTATTCAAGTCACCGCCAGGTAAACGTCATAGGGACACTGTTCATGCTAGAATTCGCCAAGCATCAGCGTCTCAAGGCCATGCACTATTCCTCCAGTATCGCCGCGTACGGGCCGACGGGCTATGTGACTGGGGCCACTATGTTGCCGGAGGACGAGCGCCCGGCACCACATTTGGCCGCTATGCAGTATGATACCGGCTATTCCCAGAGTCAGTATGTGGCTGAAATGATCGTTTGGAGTGCCATCGACAACGGCTTCCCTGTGTCCATCTATCGGCCGGGCTTCGTTCTCGGTCACAGCAAATCAGGCCTCTGCAACCCGGACGATTTTGTTTCTCGTCTGTTCACTAGCTGTATATCTCTGGGATTATTCCCTATTCTGCCTAACCAGCGCAAGGAGTTCATTCCTGTAGACTTCATCGTCAACGCCATACTCCACATTTCCACCTCGCACAACAACTTCGGCCATGCCTATAATCTCATTCAGCCCGATCTGACAAACGCGATCGACATTAACACTAGTTTCGAGATCCTCAAACGGATTTCGCGGTATCCGCTGCGTGGGGTCTCCTACACCGATTGGGTCAAATCGCTGTCTCGCCGCCCGGACGACCCCCTGCATCCGCTTACCCCAATGTTGAAGGAGGCCGTCTTGGGTGATAAGACTCGGTGGGAGGTCTATGAGAACATGGCTGAATACGGGCGGGCGAATCTGCGCCGTGCTCTCCAGGATGCGCCTGATATCTTGAATTGCGACCCGATCGAGGTGATCTTTGAACGGTGCCTGAAGACCTGGGTCTGCCAAGTTGAATCAGGCCTCAAAAAGGAATAAATGAACGCAATAAGCGCATTCTTCATATTCGCATTCATACTAAGAAAGTCCTTCTCTGTAAAATATGTTTTCCCAGTAATAGTGTCCCATAGGAATAAACAAGAAGTGTTGTTGAGCTGAAAGCCCTCTTTATGAAGTAGAATATATGAATGCCTAAACAAATATAAGCTAACCTCTGTCTACCATGTCTAGGGTTAAACCACGCGGAGTGCGACATATCTGACGTGCGTCATCAGGCATGGTTGTCCAAATGACCTTGTTGACCTCCCTGCCAACCTGATCGATCGCATCCATCGCCCAAAGGACATCGAGATGTTCATATTCTTCAATGATCTTTGAATGAACGAGACTCACATGAGGCTCGCAGCCACTTTGAAAGCGATTCAGAAGCCGGCGACCATCAACAAGAGCATCAGAGCCTCCGATCCAGAAAGCAAACGGGGGTGTCCTCGGGCCATACCAGGGGCTTGAGGCCGGGCCCAAACATGCGTCTCTGGGATCATCACCATGCTCAGAAACAGCATCTCGCGTATGCGGGTTCACGTTTGGCTCCTGAAGGAGTTCGTTATCTGTGGACAAAATGCATTTATGTTTCGCAAAGCTGTCGCTTCCCAGCCACCAGCGCATCATCTCGGCGCTAACATACACAGGAGCGAATTGGAACATTCGATGGCGAAGATCACGCTCCCAGCGCGTGTCTGACCAGTCAAACAAAAAGGAGAACACCCAGTATGCTAGGGTTCCATATATCCTAGGCGGGAGCAGGCGCCGAGCGGTCATCATGGAAGGAATGAAAGAGTGAATTCCGAAGACAATTCGGAACATCGCCGGAGAGAGAAGACTCATGAATCGGAAATACGGTCTGCTTACAAGCGGGCCTGCATATGCAGCGGGTGCAAGCGCGCAGAAAACCGAGATGTATTCACCCAGCTCAGGACGATGCTCCTTGGCTAGAGCAACGAAGGTCTGCGTGGTTCCTTGGGAGTGGCACACTAGACCTAGCTTCTCGAACCCAGTCTCGTAGAGCACACGCGACGTGAGTGCTGCGAGATCCAGTGTCCCGAGATGCCGAATGTCCCATGACCACATACGCGGGTCGTCGGTCGACAAAGTGGTGTGCTCTGGGTGCGATCCACAGCGGTTATTCCCTAACCAAACATCGTACCCGGACTTGCAGAGGTAAAATGCCAGACTATCCTCGTCATTGGTACAGAATGCGCCAGCGTTCTGCAGCAATCCATGTATCAGGAGAACAGGATACCGACGGTTAGATTGTGGACGAGATGTGCTCGACAATCTTGGCTTGGTGAAAACATCGGGACCACGCTCACGCCGCTCTTCTGGTGATAATGCCTCATACTCCCGGGGATTGTACACATGCCACAGAGTGATGATGAAACCATCCTCTGTCTGCACACGAAATGTCTCCACATCAAGACCAACTCGGCGGGCATAGTATGCGACATCGCCAACCAGAGGGTCCTTGCCTCCTTCCAACGACGGGCATTCTTGGCATTCTTCGGGTCCCTGTTCCTCGTCCATGTCCCTCTTCTGTTGGCGCAGAGCCCATCTCCTATCGACGTTTGCCCGTGCCTTCCTGCGCGCCTGTTCCTCTGTATAGAACGACCTCATGGTCTCCGGGTTATGGCCGCTCAATCGCAGACGAGCTTCCGAAATTGCGACTCCGGCTGTGTGGATCAGGGCCCCGATGAATATGACCGTCAAGAAGCATATCGACAGAAAGAATGAAGCAACGATGAACGCATAGTATTGGACCCTGCGCAATGCGGATGGTGGCCCATACGAGGGCATGGGTGGGAAAAGCGGGTGTTCTGCAGTCAGGAAATTAAGGCCGGACGAACGTTTTTTTTCCCTAAACGATGATGTCCCAGTGAAATCCATGGCCGACGCAGCTATACTATTGCCGACCATCAATCCCACGTTCTCTTTCTTCTCCGGTTTTATTCGGTCGGATTGGAGGTCTCGCATGACTGCGTCGGCGTGACTCGTTTCCGCACGTGCGGTCGATATGAAAGGTTCAAGTGGAATTGTTGTGACTGACATTGTCATGAATCTCACTCGTCATCCGGAATCAAAAGGGCGCATTGTGATCTATATTTCTAGGCTCCGGGAATGGCGAGTAGAGCACGGAGACTAGAGGTCTCAAAGATCATCAAGTGTCACCACGGATTGCTGCCAGGGCCATGCACCATGCACGCCAAGGCTACAGAGTTATGTCACGTGAGCTTTCAGGAACATGTGATTGTAGTTCGGTTAACCAATCGGAGATCCCATACACTGCTATATAAATAGAATGGCGATGTCGACTGTGCTCGATATTGAAGTTTTGAAATTTTCACAGACGAGGGTCTTGTCTTGTTCTATAGAGGGCTAATATTATTTTTAAAAAATACAAATGCATAGGGTATCAAACATCCCCGACCTCGCCAGCTCTTTCATTTCCCTCTGCTGCCATTGCTTCTCTTTCATCAAGCGTAAACTCACTCTTAGCCTCTCGAATTCGCACGAAAAAGGCGACGATAAGAAGACCCAGTATCGCTAGTCCGGTTTGATACCAAAAGACAGCCTTGTAGCTGCGCCGAGAACCCAGGTCAGACGTCTGGGTCTGAACAATGTCAGCGAAACCAAGCAGCACAGCGATCCCCATGTGCAGAGTGCAGTTGATCAATGCACCAGCTAAGCCTTGCCTTGATTTTGGAAGGTTTGTCGTGATAAATACATTGGCGATGTTGAAGCTGATATCAATGCCGACTGTGCCGCATATCATCGACGGGAAAACGAAAGCCCAGTAATTTCCGCCAAGAGGAATAACGGCAAAAAACAATCCAGAACCCACGTAGCCGAGACATGATATCAGCATCAATATCGTTCCTGGGACTTTGTGGAAGATCATTCCTCCTCCAACTGAGAGGATGAGGCCACCAATTCCCATAGGCGCAGCCCATGCCACGATTTGCATTGGCGAAGCACCCATTATATCAGACATGCTATAGCTGTTGTCAGAAAAGCCCAGTCTGAACGATATTAGGATATAACTTACTACAGAACGGCATAGAGTAGGAATATTCCCAATGTGCCATAAAGAAATAGCAGAGCGACGACCAGAGGCAGCATATACTTAACTCGAAAAATATCACCGGGGAGCAAAGGGTTCTTCACCACCCATCCCTCCACATAGACCATCATTCCGAGGAAAATAAGTCCAAGAGCGAGGAACAGAGGGATATATGGCGTTCTCCACCCTTGCGGCGCATATGAACTGTCCGCAATGGCAAAAACAATGAACACAGCCGCCGGGATGGAAAGACACGCACCAGCCCAATCCATCTGGATGCCCAATTTCCTCATCTCGGAATAATCGCGCGGAATGGAGAAGAGTGACAGAGCTGATGTGATGGCGGAGAGAATTGCTCCGAAGAAGAAGTACCATCTCCACGTGAGATATTCACCAGTGAGTCCGGAGAAGAAAATCCCCACAAAGAAGCCCAGCGCCGCACATGCGCCATAGATACTAAAAACGATGTTTTTTCTGGGTCCAGGTCTGTACGTGCTGCCGAGGATCATCATTCCCGATGGAAGAAAGGCGGCCAGAGCAAAGCCCTGCAACGCTCGACAGATAATCAACATCAGCCATGTTTGGGAGACACCACATAGGATAGAGGATATCGTGAGCCAGATAGCTCCCCCGCTGTAGATGATATATCCGCCGAACATGTCGGTTAGTCTGCCAAATATAAGGAGCGTCGAGGTCACGACCAGCGACAGTGCGGTAGACGGCCATACCGCCGAAGCTTTAGGGAGATCCAGCTCTCTGACGAGCGTTGGAAGGAGGACATTTGAGCCTGAGATGTAGTATTCCTGGTAAATGTCAGAATTTTTCCTCATTGTCCAGGAGCATCGTCGTGACTGACTGCAAGAATTTGGGACATAAAAATCGAGAGACAAAAAGAGATTTCGGACCAAGCGCCACCAAAGCATTTTGGGCGCTCTCTTCCCAATCTTTCCAAATCGACGTTCTCTTGATTTATCCTGGCCTGCTCCGGATCATGCTGTATAGCCTCATCAGTCGGGCTAGAAAGTTCTGGCGCGCCCATGATTCTTTATCAGATGCGGATGTCTTTTCTTGGTGTTGAATTATAAGGCAGTGCAGCATTGTATGCGTGGTGTTGCAAAGTCTTTATAGCCCATGCCCAGGTGGTGAATCAATGGCCATTTCTAAGCAATGACGCCCTCCAAGTCTCCAAGTGGTGAAATTTTTAAGCAATGACGCCCTCCAGGTACTCCGTGCAGACTAATAGACCCAGTAAATAGTCTACGCGACTCTTGCCAAGCAACCCAACCCGAGGTCATTGGGGTGTGGGGTACAACGCCGTAATGGAAATTCTTAGTGGTAATTCTACCATTCGTTAGGGGGTTATTTGCATAACGGCCAATCTTTGTTTCTTACCTCGATATCCGGTAAAAATTGTTAATATAGTCCTAATTCAACTTCTAAAATTGACGTTATCGTAGTGCTATAGCACGAAGGGTCTTCGAACAGCCTATAAAGGTTCCTCGCGCTATAGCTATACGAGAACCCCTCTTTGGAGACTATTACTACAGAAATACCTCTTTAGGCACTTTGGTACTTGGAATTTTGATAGTTGTGGTAAGGGTTCAGCTGCTTGGCAGAATCGCGTACAACATATCTGATCAATGTTACCCATTTCTAGAATACCACTAGAATTTTTAGCACGAGGGAAGCAAGATGATTTGTCGGTTAGAGTGCTTAATCTCCGCGCCAAGACTTCTACTTTGAGCTTCCTCTTTGGGAAGTGGTGAGTGGGGCTGATAATCGGCCACGTTGAGCATCTCAGGGGCCTTACAGCTTGAGCTTCGTGTAGAATTGGTTCATTACGACATATAATCCAACTGGGTTTAGAGAATAGTAGCTAGCAGCCAAAGATCCTAGAATTTCAAAGAAACTGAGCCATTGAGATATTACCCGGCAGCTGCCATGTGGCCTCCAATGTTGCTCCGAGCTACGTACCACGTTTTTGTTTCACGCCATGGAAAAAACTGATTCTGCACTATATGTACACTGTAGTTCCGAAAGTGATATATCATATGCAGTGTGAATAATGTTCCGAGTCTAAGATAAAGAAGAAGCACGTGATTTAATGTCACCATCCGGTAGTTATGTGATCACCATGTGGTCAGCTGAACTAGTTAGCTACCCCATAGCTTCTAAACAAGAGATGAAAGATGATACCATCACCAGAATCCACCGAAGGACTTGATCACCTTCCCCCACCTCACTAACCAGGAGCAATGGGCGGGAGATCCACCCTCAATTATGCAGGGCAGCCACAGTCCAAGGATCACCCCTCCCAAGGCGAGAGAGGCCTTCCTGACACAAGTCCCCCACAAGATGGTTTCGAAATCCAACTTCCCTTACGACCCGACCCGCTCGGCAGATGGTAATGGCGACGTTTGATCTTCGGGAATATCCCAAGAAATTCTTTGAACCTGCAGCTACCAAATTCTTCTCGAACTATTTCCAAAAGCACGGGCAATTGAGTGCAACAAGCGAGTATTAATTTATCGTTTTCATAAACTGCCGCCGAAGCCATGGTCTCGACAAAGTGCACATGTACCCTGCTACTTGACGGACGATCCCCACGACAGAGCCTATGATCCCTATATACCACTTCAGTCGTTCACGAATTGATAGAAATTAACATTTGGGACGATGAACCAGCAGTGGGTTTGATTTTCGACTTGACACCTATCACGGAAGTCTAATCCTGGGGAGATTTTATCATCGTGTTGGAAACAGAACCAGAAAATGTCGAAGTTCTGCCGGCAGTTCCCAAGTTGATCACAGGATGCAACTGCTTTTACCTCTTTGAGTCAGAAATGGAGAGACCCATCCGATCGGCTCAGCATCTAAAGCAAGTTACTCCGGCTGTTATTGACGATACGCAGTACATGGTTGACCACACACTCGGTGACTTTATTCGGGCGGGCGAGACAGGATAGGCGAAGACTGGTCCTTAACAGTTCATACTATGGCTCTATGTCAGGGTCACGACTACCCTCGGACGATCTGCATGAGCCTAAACAGGTCTGGATTCGTTGCCATTGGCTCTATCTTGGTCACTGACGGACTATGCCTGCGAGATCGGCGATGGAGTATGCGGCTCGGCTATCTGGGGTAAGAACGATAGAGTTTTGGGGGTTCCTTCGTTATGTCCACACGTCAGGGCTATTTAGGTCACTATTCTGTTATCGGGGCTGATCATATTCTTGATAAAGGATACACTGTGGTCTAGTTTTGTCTGTTAGGTTACGAAATTGGGTCGCTTCTTGGATTCCATTGTACAAGGACACTCTCAGGACTTGAGTCTTCTTGCCCCTCCTTCTGTCAGGTCAATAGGCACTTTCAATCACAGTCCTCGTCAGTCCACCTTGGACCCCACTCACTCGACTGTTCCATCCAACTCCATCAACAGTGAATATCTTTCATCCTCTGTCAAACCAATCCAAGCATCCAATATTGACTTCGATCTGCTGAAACCTACTTACAAAACATTAAATTAATATAACTTTCTTCCAAGACAACTTGGGCCCGGTTGTCAGTGATGGGGACCTCAAGGCGCTTGCTATTGTGATATGTATCCCGAATATTGTTTTATGTCCTTCGCTTATCTCAAATTCGGTAGTGATCGTGGGTATCAAACATATTTAGTCAGTGGCAAGTGCCATATACCTAATTCCGAGATGTATGGCGGCTATTCGTACCCGTACCAGTCCTTGATAACCTTCGAAGCCCCCAGGGGAAAAGTGCTTATTTATGGAAATAAGATTTCCCACGTGCAGTTAGATTCTTGGCACGCCTAGGGAACTCTTATTCAAAACCGTAAAGAAACCGCATTTGAGAATTGTGCTTTGAGATGGAAATAGTCGCTACTTAAATGCTACTGCCCACCACCTATGACAAATTCCATTGTTTTCAATTTCGGCCGAGAGATTAATTTGACTTACTCCATAATTCAATCTATGGTTACAATCAGGTACGCAGCATGTTCTTCACAAAATCGCAAACTAGGGAACCTTATCACGCCTATCCGTTAGAGTGGATACCTCAGGCAACGAACCCTCGGTTAGGATTGCAGTTTGGCCTCCTTTCCCCAATAAATATATCTCTCCTAGTCCCAAAACTATCTTTGATGAACCAGGTTACATAAAAAGCAATATAAATTCCTTAGGTGCCGAGGACCGTTGCAATCATGCCAAAACGCCAAAACGTGGCCATCTCGGCTCCCAGATAGTAACCTTCATATGCGGGGTTTCCCCTTGTGGTAATAGTCCACGCTGATCAATCTAATCAATGTAACACCCCTCGCAATTTCCCAACAGATTCAGGGACAGTTCGGACTATCATGGCAATCATAGGACAAAATCGGAGTTCCCAATGTGTTCATAAACAGCGAGACATGATATATAGACAATGAAGGGATACCCGGTTTGACAGTTTAACCAGCCTACAATCAAAATGAAGTTCACACAATCTCTTCTTCCTTTCTTCCTTGCCCTTGCGCCTTCAGCTTTGGCTGCTTCCCCGACGGATCTCCAAGCGCAAATTGGATCCCATGTCATCTACTCTTACCCCGGCCTTGAGCCCTCCGCCCAGCTCCTCGAGCTGATCAAGGAAGGCAAAGTCGGCGGTATCATCCTCTTCGGCGAGAATGTCAGCGATAACCTCACCACCACAATTGACAATCTCCAGCAGACCTACAAACAAAGCCCGTACTATTCCGGCAGTCCTTTGCTCGTCATGACGGACCAGGAAGGCGGAGAGGTGCGTCGGTTGTCCGGCGGGCCAGTGTCGAGTGCCAAAGTAGTCGGTGAAGCCGCCGATTACAAAGCGGCCGCGACGCAGATGGGCATTGATGCCGCGACCACCCTCAAGGAATTCCATAACAACGCCAACCTGGCCCCCGTCCTGGATGTGTTCCGCGTGGCCGGGGACTTCGCCGATAACTACCAGCGCTCCTTCAGCAACTCATCCAGCGTCGTTGGGACATGCGGATCTGCATTCATCCACGCCCAGCAGGGTGACGGTGTTGTCGCAACCGTCAAGCACTTCCCCGGCCTGGGTGGAGCAAGCACGACCGAGAATACCGATGTGGAGCCCGTCACCATTGACTTCACCAAGGAGGAGCTCCGCTCGGTGGATATGGCCCCGTATACGAAGGCGATCGCGGCCGGTGTCGACATGGTCATGGCCTCGTGGGCTATCTACCCTGCTTTGGACGCCAATTACCCCTCCGGACTGAGCAAGGCCATTATCCAGAATGAGCTGCGCGGTAGACTTGGCTTCAAGGGTGTCACTATCACCGATGCTATTGAGGCGGGATCGCTGGTGGCATTTGGCGACCAGGGTCCCCGTGGATTGTTGGCTGCTCAGGCTGGTATGGATCTCTTGCTTGCCAGTGGGAGGAATGTCACTCAGGGAGAGGCTATTTACGATGCTCTGGCTGCTGCTTTGAAGGATGGTTCGTTGGACAAGCGTGCATTCTCTAATGCAACCAACAGAATTGCGTCACTTCGCAAGAAGCTTATTAAGTTTTAGATAAGTGAGAGTTTGTGTGTTATTAGATAGATCTGGTTGTATTGTAAATAAAAAAACATTTCTGTCATATGTTTCGTATTCTCGCAATGAAGTCTTTAAATAGCGTCGAGAATGGTCCAATTGTAAGCACTGCCCCAGCCATGCGTAGGGCTTTGAATGCCGATCACCATCTAAAACCTGCATATGGTGTCAATGTCAGGGACCAAGAACTTTATTCCCACTCCGATCTACAGCTTGCATAGCTAGCTCTATTCATGTGGCTCATGTAAATTAACTGCCTAACTTCTCCTGGTTTATCGTCGAACTAAAAATCATACTCCACTATCGCAGGCTTACTTGCCGCTTGAGCTGATAAAATATCCATTATAATGGTCCTTAGAGAACAGCTCCTTTCCCATTGATATATGTAGTGCAGAGTACATTTTGATATCATTTGACCTGCGTATAATGCCTAGTTATCGGTCCTTTGTCTCTTATCGCTATATCCTTACCGCTTATATCACCGCCTCCACAAAAACTATACACAACCATCCACCACTCAGGGCCAAAAAGACAAAAAAGAAGTGACCGACGCAGGGGTCGAACCTGCAATCTCTTGATTCGAAGTCAAGCGCCTTGCCATTGGGCCAGCCGGCCTACTGTTGTGGGACTTATGCCGAGTAGGCTCGATCGCGGATAGCTAGATAGGACCGACAGACCCACTTTCAATGTTGACATTCAATCTCATTAGGGCTCATTAGGAACATTTATTGTTGCAATTGGACTATCTTTACTTTTGAATATACAAAACTACTCTAGCATAAATATAGGCTGTTTATTTTTCCCTAGCTGACATCAATTTCACCATTTTATACATATGCTCTGACGTGACAATAACTAGCAGCGATTATATATCCTATCATCCCGCAGATTAAGTATCCGTTACGGACTAACCCAATATACAAACCACCCGATGCCATTTATTATTGCTTTACAATCCCATTGGCCTAACATAGTGCACCAATTGGCGCGGAGCTTTCTCCTAGACAAGCTACACAGATGGACCAGCGTCGTATTGAAAGTGGAATGTGTACTGAGTACAAAGTACAGAGCAGGAGCAACTTACAAGTAGTTTGATTTTCTATATAGAATACTGTTATGATTGGCGTTCTAATTCATGTAATGAAGCTGGTTTCCACATAGTTTGCTAATAGCGTCGAGTAGCTTCTATGACTAGTTTGGCGACAGAGGTAATAAACACTAGGAAGATAAGCGCCATCACATGTCAGTATACATTTGTGCTTCTACTCTACTGCTCCTTTGCTCCTGTGATACTATCTCCTAGCATGATAAGTCTGTAGATATAGCGTGAACCAAACACAGTCTATCCTGCCACTTAAAAATTATACCTGACGTGTGAATATGTACTACGTAGTCTTGAAAATCTGCTTCATGGGCCCCCACTAATCTAAGTTTCATATTGCAAAAAAAAAGAAAAAAACAAACGCTGTACCGGACGTGTCCACCGATAGAAGAGCGCTGAAAGTTCTAGGCAATAGTGGAAACCATGAGTTAGGGCTTTGAAATTATGCGAGCTCCCGATGTGAGAGTTTCCTAAAAGCTTAGCAGTGAGTAAGGAGTACAGATAAGTACATTAGGAACTGCGTACCTAGCCGTATACTCCGTAAATAGGCTGAAAGAAGAGGAATCAAAGCATACCCATAACGTGTGCAATGCAGCTGCAGTGATCAGTCCCACATGAGCCAGTTGCTTTTATAACTTCCAGTGTGGTGCTACCATACCGATATCCTAATGCAGCTATTCCAATGGGTCCGTTCACAGAGCTCAAAGGACATAGATCCACTGTCTGTAAGGCAACGGTGTATACATGTAGCTAGTCACCAGGTAGAGGATAGAAGAGCTTGACTCAGGATTAGATGGGAAGCCACAACAATGAAAATAATGAGGCTCCGGTCCAATGAGAGAGTCCCCCGCCGATCAGGTAAACGGGAGGTGGACCCCGGGGCTCTTTGGGGTCAAGCTGTGAATATGCGAAATAAGCGAAAGACTCTCAATCAAAGCATCGCTTCTTCTGAGACATGTTGATGCGAAATTGACCGACTAATAAAAGTGCAAAGTTGAAAGAGTCTCGCCACCACGGACCAGACCGGAGGCCGGAGGTGTTTCCGCCCTGGCCGTTTACGGCCTCGATTCATCCCCGGCGCTTTTACGTATTTTTCATCGCGTCAACCCCTCCTCTCTATAATTCTCTGTCGTTCCCTCTTTCCTTTCCTTTTATTTAAATATTCACTGTGCCCTGCAGTTATAAACCTACACTTTTTATCCCGTGGAGCTCTGATTGAGCGCTCCACAAACCTCACGCTACCATGGGCCTGTCCAAAACGAACAGGATCTTGATCCTGCTGGTCATTGATACGGCATTTTTCTTGCTTGAATTGATCACTGGTTAGTTTTTGGCAATTTGACCGTATGCGACCGGCTTCTGACTGTGTTTTCCTAGGTTATGCCGTGCACTCTCTTGCCCTTGTCGCCGACTCCTTCCACATGGTACGCCACCATCTACAATCTTGCTCTTTGGCTGAATCTAACCCGAATAGTTGAATGATGTCTTATCCCTATGTGTCGGATTATGGGCCGTGAAGGTTGCGAACCGGGAGACGAGCTCCAACACCTACACCTATGGCGTAAGTTGATGTCAATACTAGCCCGAAGACGATGACGATCTGACAATTGGTTTCTCTATACAGTGGCAACGAGCGGAGACACTTGGTGCCTTGGTCAATGGCGTGTTCCTAGTCGCCCTGTGCATGTCGATTTTCTTAGAGGCGACCCAGCGATTGTTCGAGCCCCAGGAAGTGCAAAACCCGCGCTTTGTTTGCATTGTTGGCTGCTTCGGTCTAGCCTCCAATATTGTTGGATTGGCACTGTTCCACGACCACTCCCACGGACCTGGCGGCCACGATCACGGCAACGGTGGCGAGCACGATGAGCACGACCATGACCATGACATCGAGGCTGGTGATCATGATCACGATCACACACCCATCGCCGAACACAGTGAGAGCTTGGCGGCGCCTAAGGTTTTGGACAGAGCCGCAAGCTTGCCTCAAAATGCCCTTACCCAATCTCCCACTGACCCATCCCGAAAACGGCGCGACCTCCAGACCCGCGGGCCAAGGAGCTACAGCACTTCGACAGGACGTGGATTCGTGAGCGCCGATGATATTCCCGTGCTCCCCGAGAGACTGAGACAAGGGATTATCGCGGCTAGTCAATACCGGAATGAACAATCGTCGGATTCGGACAATGGAAATGACGAGGATGAGCAGCCATCTGAGCGTTCAGGTCTTTTGAGTCACCGCGATCGCACAACCAACTACACCGACGAGGAAGGAGCTCCTACCAAGATCCACCATCACCCCGATGAAGATGTCCACAAATCCCACAACCATGCCCAGCCTAAGCCAAAGGGCCAAAAGAAGGGTCACAACCACGACCTCAACATGCGTGGTGTCTTCCTCCATGTTATGGGAGACGCCCTCGGAAACATCGGTGTGATCGTTTCCGCGCTTATCATCTGGTTGACGGACTACAAGTGGCGCTTTTACGCCGACCCGGTCATTTCTCTCATTATCACAGTGATCATTCTTGCATCTGCCATTCCGTTGTGTAAGGCCGCCTCGCGTATCCTTCTTCAAGCCGTGCCCCCCGGCATGAGCATTGATCACATCAAAGAAGACATTGAGCGCCTTCCTGGTGTCATTGGATCACACCACCTGCACGTTTGGCAACTCAGCGACACCAAGGTCGTGGCTTCGATTCATCTCCAAGTGGACACCGAGATCAAGGGTGAAGGCTCGGAGAGGTACATGCGTCTGGCGAGACAGGTCAGACGCTGTCTCCATGCTTACGGTATTCACTCTTCGACTATCCAACCTGAGTTCGCGCCGGAAAGTGATGTCGAAGACAATGGACAAGGATCATCCTCTCACACCGAGGACCACATTCCCAGTCGTGCTGCTAGTGTTCGGGAGGGCGACCCTCAAGCATGCCTTCTGGAGTGTGACAACAACTGTGCCGAAGGAGGCCAGTGTTGCCCTAAAAAGTGAACTTAATCCCATGTGGTGACTTTCCACGCACTTTCGTTTCTCATTTGGTACCCTAAACATCTCACCCCTACGGTTTTTTTTTTACCCAGATACCCTATCTTTATCTGCACCTCGTTCGGGCAGAATCTAGAGACCTGTCCTACTCCTTTCCCATTTCATTGTCTGGTTTTACTTGGAAGTGGTAGTTCCCTTGAGCTACACAGTCTTTTGGGAAATGCATGGCAAAACATGCCGTGCAATATCATCCAATGTGCGGACATAGACCCGCTGACCCGCTGTATCCTTCGGACTGCATTTGTTATGTACTTCTACTTATCTCTAATTCAAGACCTGCAAATCAGCCTTGGAAATGTGCCGAAATTATATTGTACCCCGTATGTTGTAGACAATCTGTTTGTTAAGGGTCCACACGTGACCGCCCCATGTCTGGCGATCGACACATTGACCCGAAGCTTAAAACAATTGCCAGTTAATCCCCCTGTCTTCAAGTTGAACACCATGTTATGAAATTTTACTATTTTGATCCTTCATCCTTCATTCTTTTGGTTCTTTTCAGTTGTATGCCCAGAGCATGACCAGTCATTCCTTTGTTTGAAGATCAGCCCCGTCTCGTCTGGGGTCGAGCCACCCTATCCTAACTTAGTCTTGCTGTCAAGCTAAGCCAAACATGAAATTCGCCTACCCACGCAGCACGGGCGCTTCCTCCCTTCCGTCCTACAACCAACATCAGTCGTCGAGATCGCAAAATATCCTCAGTCGCGTGTGGGACTGCATTCCCTCGACAGCAAGACAATGGCTTACGGAGAGTGTCAGCCGGAGAATTGGCAGTATTCGAAGTGAGGGAATTAAGCCGACTGCTATCAACCTTGTCAAACGTATATTTACGATTTCCAATGTCATTATTTTACTGTGGATGTTCTCGATTCGGTGGGGCGAACGCACGGTATTTGAGGACAGCATCAACAAATGCCTTTGGGACAGTTGGGAAGAATGGGTAAGTTGACGGAATACCTATCGCAATTCAGTTCCCTGGCTGGTACTAACATCAATGTCTAGCCTCAAGGTGCCACACCTCACCACATTGCCTTCATCGCCGACCCCCAGCTCGTTGATCCCCACACTTACCCCGGTCGACCATGGCCTGTGTCCACGTTGACGGTCAAATACACCGACCAATATATGCGACGGTCATTTTCCTTGATACAAGATCACCTCGAGCCGGACTCAGTGCTGTTTCTTGGCGACCTTTTCGACGGCGGCAGAGAATGGGCCACGGCTACAACTAGCAGCCCCGAACCGCGGTGGAAGAAGTATACGGACTCCTTTTGGAAGAAAGAGTTTGGGCGATTTATTAAAATTTTTGTGGACCCGTGGGAGAAATTTGCGAAGCCCCCTGTCGATGGACGAGGGCGCAGAATGATTGCTAGTCTACCTGGCAACCATGATCTTGGGTTCGGTAACGGTATCCAGGAACCCGTCCGTGATCGCTTCGAGTCCTTTTTTGGAAACCCCAACCGCGTCGATGTTATTGGGAATCATACTTTCGTGTCCGTGGACAGTCCCTCGCTGAGCGCGATGGACCAGCCCGATCCATTGACGGGCAGCTCTCCAACAGCCAGCGAGAACCATTCTCTCCGCCCGATCTGGAAAGATGCAGATGACTTCCTGGATAAGATGGCTATCCACAAAGCCAAGGCGGAGACGGACGAGCTGCGAATGCTGCAGAACAAGACCGAGGAGCATACTATCTTCGATTATCGTATTGCCGACGCTGTCGAGCCCGCCATCCACCAAAAGCCTCAGCCAGCAGGCGTCGGCTTTCCTACTATTATTCTGACACACGTCCCGCTCTACCGCGAACCAGCCACTCCCTGTGGTCCTCTCCGAGAACACTACCCGCCGTCTTCATCGGACGAGGAACTGACAGAGGACGAGCCTAACTCTTTGAGAATTGCCGGAGGCTATCAGTACCAGAATGTCCTCACGCAGACCATTTCCACCGAATTGGTTTCCAAGGCAGGACCCAATGTCGTCCAGGTGTATTCCGGCGACGACCATGACTACTGTGAAGTGTCCCATCGGGAATTCAACGGCTCGCCCAATGAAATCACCGTCAAAAGCATTTCCTGGGCGATGGGAGTCCGCCACCCGGGGTTCGTGCTTACCAGTCTGTGGAATCCAATCGACCCCAAGACAGGCAAATCCATCCAAGACGGATCACCACCCACTGTGCAAAACCACCTCTGTATCCTCCCAGACCAGCTGGGAATCTTCATCTACTACCTCATTATCCTGTGTATCAGTGTCTCCATCCTCCTCCTCCGTTCCATCTACCGCGTCCTCTACACCCCAGAACCATGCCCTTCCGGTGCGATTCTCCCCCTTTCCGAACCGCGCTCTCTCCCACATCACCACACCTCCGGTGCATCTAGCTCTACACTCTCATCGGCGGGTGGTTTAGCCAGCCGCAATGGCATGACAGCCTCCACCCGCTACCCCGGCACTAAATCCCCAGAAGATGCATATCGGGGTATAGACGGGGACTTCGGAGCCGCCTCAAAGGACAAGGCTGCATGGCGCCCCGCCTCGGCTACCCGTTCCCACTCAACTGTCTCTCTCATCGTCCGGGATCTATACCATTCCCTCAAATTTGTGGCGCAAGTGGTGATGACTGTGTATTTCATCCTGATCTGGCGCTGGTAGCTAGTCTGGCCAGTTTTTTTTTTCTTCTTCTTCAGCGAGCATCAAAATAATAGACAAGCATTTCATCGGAACCTGCCGAATTGGCATACTCGGTAGTCTAATTTCGAACATGTGATCAGTTTTTAGCATTGACCTAGGCAAAACCCGAACGGCCTAGAGCTAACGCTACTTTAGCTCCCGACCTGCGCCACTCCTCGCTAAAAACCACCGGCATTGGCATTGACCGGCAAAGTTATCCCCGAGTCCAATACCGATCTAGCTAGTAGTAGGCCACAGGTGTCTCCGATGATTCTCCGGGAGTGTAACGTCGGGAGAGCCTCGGGTCCTCTGTCCAATCCGCGTCTTGGGAAAATGGCGCACTGGCGCGGGACTAAGCCAGCTGGGCATTTGTTCAAAATTTCCCCGGCAATTTTGGCGAGTTCTGGCTTCTGCAGATCCTCGCGAAGGTCATGCTCTGGGGGAAATTAATCTGGCCATGCTTTGCCCCCTTCCCATTCTGGCTCCGGTGAACAGCTTCGTAACTGCCAACTCTTAGCTTATTGGGCGTCAATACCTCGGGCCCCTGCTCCATACAAGGTCTGGGGGAGGTCTGGGGAAACTGATGTCTGGGGATGAGGGGAAAAGACGGGGGAAAAATATCCGCTTTGAAAATTGAAATCTCTGACCTTCTACATATTACATTTGCAATCTAATTTAACACGCTCCAGAACTATGTCTAAATTAAAATGACATAGGAATTGCAGCAAAATGTGACAAATAAACATGGCCTCTCCCCCGATGCGGGAGACACGCCGATACCGATCGGCATTGGCTTAACCCGGCCCCCCCGCTGTTTTCGGCCTGTCGTGTGGTATGGAAAGGCTATTTACGGATATTCCTAAGACATGTCAGCCCTAAGTTGCCACGCAAATACATAATAGGATATACAACAAACAGTAACAATAGAGCACCATATGCAGTAGATATGTACAGCAAGACTATACTGATTCCATGTACTTCTATATCTCCGTGTAGTTTCGCCGATCCTACTGCACAAAGCACAACAACTGCACGCCAAGGCTCAGGGAAGAAAAATCAAACTCGGTTCGGGGACGAGCCAATTTGCGTCGAACCAATGACCATCCCGGTTGAAGTCCGGGGCCTGAGCCCCTAACCACGTTAGCTTCTCCAGTTTCGGTCTAAACTCTATCCCCAGGCCCAAAACATCGAGAAGTCCGTGACAATGGGGAGAATGCTGTTCTGGGATTGGACAGGACTCGGATTTTCGCCTTCCAAGGCAAGTTCGGTCCCCCGCGCTGCTTTCAGGTTTGGTTGAAAATTTCCCCGGCTTGAGAAGCATGGGGCCATGTGGTTGAGAGACTGGGGAAGTACAAATAGAGGGGGATTGACCTCCGGGTTTCTTCTTTTGTTTGTGTACCTTGCTTCCTCCTTTCTCTCCTATATCAGTCTTCTCTGAGTCATCTATACTTTCGGGTTCATCTATATACTCACACGACACATACCTACTTGGGTTGACTTGATTCTTCGTGATCACACTCGCAATGGGCTTCGCTTTGAAGAGGCCGACTGAGGCCGTGGGCTCTGCTGCCCCGGCTATCATCATTGGACTGTTTGTTGCATTCGGTGGTGTTCTCTTTGGGTATGTACCACTCAAGTTCTATACTTCTCGAAGACAGGTCTAACACCATCTAGCTATGACACCGGTACCATCAGCGGTATCCTCGCCATGAAGAAATGGCGAGAGATGTTCTCGACTGGCTTCATCAACGAAACGGATCACCTCCCTGATGTTACCGCCGCACAATCATCAATGATTGTCTCTCTCCTCTCGGCAGGCACTTTCTTCGGTGCCCTAGGCGCCGCCCCTGTCGCTGATAGATTTGGTCGTCGAATGGGTATGGTGATGGAGAGCTTCGTCTTCTGTTTCGGAGTTGTCCTCCAAACCGCAGCAACCTCCATCCCTCTCTTCGTAGCTGGCCGCTTCTTCGCCGGTTTTGGCGTCGGTCTCCTCTCCGCAACAATCCCCCTCTACCAGTCCGAGACCGCACCCAAATGGATCCGTGGAACAATTGTCGGCACCTACCAACTCGCCATCACAGTTGGTCTCCTTCTCGCTGCCATCGTCAACAACTCCACCAAGGACCGTGATGATACCGGCTGCTACCGCATCCCCGTCGCCGTGCAGTTCGCCTGGGCTATCATCCTCGTCGTCGGCATGCTGATCCTCCCCGAAACCCCTCGCTTCCTGATCAAGCAAGACCGCTACGAGGAAGCCAGCAAGTCCCTCGGTCGTCTCCGCCGCATGGACGTGAATGATCCCGCCATTGTCGCTGAGCTCGCCGAGATCCAGGCAAACCACGAATACGAATTGCGTCTCGGAAGTGCTACCTACCTCGAGATCCTTCGTGGATCCATCGGCAAGCGTCTCGCAACCGGCTGTGCCATCCAGGGTCTGCAGCAGCTCACTGGTGTCAACTTCATCTGTATGTTCCCTTCTCACCCATTCCACCTTTTCCAGCACTAACCAAAAACAGTCTACTACGGTACCACCTTCTTCCAAAACTCCGGCATCCAAAACTCCTTCGTCATCACCCTGATCACCAACATCATCAACGTCATCTCCACCTTCCCCGGTCTCTATATGGTCGAGAAATGGGGTCGCCGCCCTCTTCTCATGTTCGGTGCCGTGGGAATGTGCGTCTCGCAACTCATCGTCGCGATCGTCGGCACAGCCACCGACTCCGACATCTCGAACAAAGTCCTCATCGCCTTCGTGTGTGTCTACATCTTCTTCTTCGCCTGTTCCTGGGGCCCGGTTGCGTGGGTCGTGACTGGTGAACTCTTCCCCCTCAAGGCGCGTGCCAAGTGTCTCTCCATCACCACCGCCACCAACTGGCTGCTCAACTGGGCTATTGCCTACGCCACGCCATACATGGTCAACAGCGGGCCTGGAAACGCCAATCTTCAGTCCAAGGTGTTCTTCATCTGGGGTGGATTCTGCTTCGTCTGTGCTGTGTTTGTGTACACCTGCATCTACGAGACTAAGGGTCTTTCGCTTGAGCAGGTCGATGAGCTTTATGCTAAGATTCCTCGTGCTTGGAAGTCTGTTGGCTGGGTTCCTTCCGTCAACTTCACTGAGCAGCTCGAGATCGATGCCAATGAGAAGAAGGCTGAGATTGCTACGCACCACGAGAGTGTCGAGACCAAGGCTGAGGCCTGATTTTGATGTTCTTTTTACGATTTTCTTTTTGGTGTTTGTGGATACTTCAAAGATCTGCTTTGAGCGTGGCTCTTGAATGATGTTGTGTATGCTGAATGATCTTTATTATTATTATGATATCTATGGTCTTCCGCTGTGAGCTGGAATACGAATTTAATTCTCCTCTTTGCAATTCTATTCATAAATCTAATACTATACATTCAGCTATGTAAATATTCGGTAAAACCAGGAATTACCTGTAAATTTCTCTCGCAAGAGTCTCAATATGCTCTTCATCCGTGCCACAACAACCCCCAACGACTTTCAGTTCGGGCAACATATCCAAAAGCCCATTGAACTCTTCAGCCCACACCGAAACATCGCCCCGATCCAGCACTAGCGAGTTATCAAGCTCATCATGACTCTTAAGACTCGCATTCCCTCGAATGGCCCCAATCCTCGACCTCACATCCTCAGGAACATCTCGCAATGCCGTCCTGATATGACGCGGATGTGCACAATTCACACCGAAATACGTCGTATAGTTCCCCGTGCGACGATCGACTTCCTGCACCGCATCTTTAAGCGTCCTCCCTCCCCGCAGCCGTCCATCAATCTCAATACTAAACGAGACGAGAATAGGGAGGTTATACTCACGCGCCACACTAACTGCCGCAGTAGCCTCATTGAGATTCGTCGCAGTCATAATCGACACCATGTCTACACCTTCCTCAGCGAAAATGCGAACCTGGGCGCGGTAATTCTCCTGCGCCTGAGAGAAAGAAACCGTATCCGTGGAATCCTGGTACGCATCCCGGAGAGTCCCCAGCGTCCCGCTGATAACGATCGGAGTAGATGGCGTCTCAATCTTGGGTCTGAGATCACGGAGGATTTTCACTGCCGCGCGGTTCAGATTGAGGATCTGCGGGACGGAAAGGTCGAGTTTGGAAGACCATGCCGGAGAGCCGCGCCATGTTCGTGTTTCGAGGACGATGCCGGTTGAGTGCGTGAGCGCGATATTTATATAGTCTTTGTAGATGGCGAGGAGGGTTTCTGTGCCTTCTTCTGTATTGAGGAGGGGGAGAGCGGAGAAGCTGGGGAGGTGGATGTTCTTTTTGTAGATCAGGGTGGTTTCGAGTCCAGCTTCGGTGAGGAAGAGCTTGGCGGAGGTCAATTGCGGGAGGAGCTTCGGTTGAGAAGTCATTTTCTGGACTTTAAGAGGAAATTACTACAATTTATAGTTAGGAGTCATAGAAACAGGCTGCGTGCGGGGTTGAAGGGAACTTGCGCTTTCGCCTAATGGGACGAAAGGCGAACGAATCCACCAAATGCGAGCCGTTTAGCGAAGCGATATTTTGAGAGGCTGTTTAACTGGTTTTGCGATTGGCAAAGTAGGGGAAACGGCTATGGTTAAAAGCTAATATAATCGATTTACCCTCGGCAAGTCGGACTCTCCGCATACATACGAGCGAAAGTGGCACCACCGAAAGGCGAGGAAAGGCGAAAAGACTAGCGGGGCAAACATCTTTATAGGCCGTCTCCGCAATGTTTATCTCGTTAAACTGACTTGACATGTATAAATAATTCATGATCTCTTGAAATTGTCTTCACATTCCCCTCTCCTAGTACATATCACTTCATCACCATGAGCCAAATCCTCTTCAAGGCTCCAACAGTGTTGAGCCGTCACTATCAGATCCGATCTCTAGCGACCCAACTCGGGAAGATCACAAGTTATCCGAAATCCATTCGTCCATCACAAGATGAAATCAAGAATGGGCGTCTTTCACACCAGAATCTAGAGATTGCAATGCGCAGCCTGCACCGGGATGGACTTGTCGTTGTTGAAAATGTGATTCCCCACGACTGCCTCAACCGACTGAACAAAAAGATGGTCGAAGATGCCTACTACCTCCAGTCCAAGAAAGAGGACATCCCATTTAACTACAACCTGGGAAATATCCAACAAGACGCTCCTCCCGTGAGGGAATTCTTCGAGCCTAGTATTTTCATGAGTATGTCACAAAGCCCCAACTGCACTTCAGTCCACAGCTCCTAATCCTACTCAGACCCCATCGCAACTCAAATCACCACATCAGCACTGGGACCACGCCCAAAATGGACCTTTTGCTCGGGAAATACTGCAATGCCCCCAACTGCAGAGAACCCTCCAATGTCCCAGCCTATCCACACAGACGCAGACTTTGCCCATCCAATTCATCCATTTGCATACGTCATCAATGTCCCTCTCATCACCATGACCCCGGCGAATGGCTCTACTGAGGTATGGCTGGGAACACACAATGACACAGGTCTACATCTCCAAGAGGGCGAACACGGCGACCGTGCCAGTGGTCGCATCAAGCTCGACGAGGTAGAGAAGCGCCGTGTAGAGCGCCCGCCATGTCAGCCCGTCGTTCCAAAGGGCGCTTTGGTCGTCAGAGACCTTCGTCTTTGGCATGCTGGAGTCGGTAACCAGACCGAGGACCCCCGAGTCATGTTGGCAATGAGTAAGTTGAAGTTCTGTCCTCCGGCTGAGTATTTCTAACTTCGATAGTCCACTTTGCGCCGTGGTATCGCAACCCTATGAGACTTGAATTCGCGGATGACCTCAAGCCTGTTATTGAGGGCCAGACTGAGCTGGAGGTTCCTGTGGACTGGGTCAGCAAGTCGGATGCACTGTCGCGCTATCTGAACCGCGGCTTTGGCAATGCCTACGACTTTAACCAGAACCCTTAGGCGAGGTTTATCCTACTGGTAATGGATGGCGAAACGACAGGACAGGTGGTAGTCTTGAAATTCATCTTGATCTAAACTGCTTTATGCGCAATCAAACAAGAATGAGATGAAATCCATATTGACTTTGTGGATAAGAATACCATAAAGTGTTATGAAGCTCTTTCACTACCATCCCACAGAATTTCCATAGAATACAAAGGTGATAATTGATAGATCTAAAGTGTCATCGAGGTTGTGCTTGGCGGAGAAAGAGCATCCGCTATAATGGAAACCGGCCACCCGGTCAGCTTCCCCCACTTTTCCAACTCTCCTGCCATTTCCACGCGCTTCTGGGTATCGCGAAGCCAAGGGCAATCTATACACAACGTTCATCAGAATAGCCCGAGGGAACGTTTGACAAATCTTACAGAATGCAATCGGGCCAAAAGCATTGACCCAGACGGGTGCGGAGTCGCTCGAAAGGGCCAGGGCACAAATCTCCGTCGCGTGGTATTCTAACTTCCGCTGTATAGATTCCATATCGTCGATGCGTTGTAGAGCTTTCAAGGGTTGAGCTGCAGGCTGAGCCAACCATAGAATTCCCATGGCGGTATGGTAGTAATGGAGAGTCGACGCTTACCATGTTAGAAGCTGAATAAGAAGTAGGTCGAGTATACTCACTATGCCAGCTTCGCAGTGTCCAAATAGACGGGAAGCTACTCTGTTTCCCGAGCCCGGGGGTTTGTATCGTGTCGAAATATGACGGGAGTGATGCTTTCCACTTGTCTAGTTCAGATTTCATGGCTTCCCATTCGAGGGGGGCTAATGCTTGTGAATCGACTGCCAGGCACCGGTTGATAATCTTGCCGAGCAGGAATGTGATGGAACTAGCAAAGTCCGCATCCTCGGTTGGTTCTGCTGGGGCATTTTGATTGGACAGAGTGATCATTAAACCGCGTTGCTCTATGAGAGCCACTGTGATGTCTTCTCGGAGGTAGTTCCAATAACCTGCGCTGAGTAGGTCTGCTGTGAGATGGATACGCTGACTCGCTAGTAGAGAATAGCATCCTTGCAGGTGACTCTGAGAGCTGACGTTTTCTAAGGTTGTTATTAAGCTGTTAGCGTCTGTATTTTCAGAGGAAGCTTAAATTAGGAATGTCGGGAACTACTAACGTGTGATAATTTCATAAGATCGCAAAAGACAAATGGCGGCGAGTGTTTCGCCAAGAGGAATGCTATCGATATTCTTCGTGAGGGAGATCAATCTCCGCACACTATCATAGTGGTAGAATTCAGCAATATCCAGATACGCTTCTTCGCCAAGGGTGCGGTGTTGATTAGCAGCAGCAAACGCGAGAATAGCACTGAGCAATAGCGGATTATATCTCGCCCTGACGGGAACAACATCCTTGAAATGGCGCTTGCTATCATTGAGATCATACCACGCGGCCAAGGTTGTTATGTAGTGGCGGAATAATTTGGCAACTTGTGGGTCCTGTAAGGCATACTCAGGATGCTCCGTGGAGGTATATTCGGTTTCATGGGGAGTAGCTGCGCTCAAAGGGCTCGATTGGTAGACTGGAACTACCGGCGCTGCTGTTGTGCCTCCTTCCTGAAGCCAATGGCAATCACGCGCAATGCGGTGACATGGGGTACATTTGGGTCGTTTTCCGTCGCCTTTCGTTGTATCAGAATCAGCCCACGCGCAGTGACTGGAGACGACGTAAGCAAGACTAACATTTGACCCGCCTTGTCCTGCAAGTTTGGCTGGGTAGTCAAATCAGTAAACAATTTAGGGCGAAAGGCGAGATGGTATCGTCTAAATGGCTTGAAAGGCCAACAATTAGGGTACGAGTGGACTGACTCACCAGCCTAGAGATGAAATAAACCCCGCATTAATTTCAGAGACTAAAACGTCGACTAGGCCAGCAGGGACTTACGATTGTGCTCAAGTCGCCTTGGCATTTACGTTTCGCGAGGCCACGGAATACCGTTTGACTTGAGAATATGCGCGGAATAAGACAATCAGCTCTTCCTTCCTATCGAGGGCTTGTAAGCATGATGTTCGCCATTCGTGTTTGGCGATTTCACCCCACTTTATTACCACCTGGTCGTGGATATGACATCACCCAAACTAAAGGCGAAAAACGAAAGGCGAGAGATGTAAAGATTGAAACGCCCGGGCATTCCTTACGAAAATTCCACTAGGACGCGATATCTGTATTTTTCAGTTATCGCTCTTGGCGGTAATTTAATCATACCGGACCTGAAAATTACAGCGGGTTTATCGATTACGTAATAATTAAGGGCCTGATCGAAAAGCGGCAAGGGGTGAGCACTAAAACGGAAAGGGAACACCATGGAGCGCCTGAAATCTGATATACTTCATGTACGGGCTGTATTAAAAGGTTTCAAGTGATTGGACAACTTGTAGGATGATTAGGTAGGTCTAATTCATTCTGATGTCTCGTGCATATTCTCTTACATATATATTTTGGGAAACCATCAATATCCTTCATCCAATACCCATCCATCTATTCTTTCAACTTTGATGACAAGTCCTATCTCCCCCCCTCAAATCTGCAATGGCCGCTCATGATGATTTCCAGTCAGACAAGGACCTTCCTATTGAGTCAGGTGGAAGTGATTCGAGCTCAACATTACTTCCTCACCCTTGGAACTACTCTAGAAAATCTTCCCGGTCATCCTGGGGAGGGCAGATTTGCAATTATCGAAATTGGCTAATCGCCCTCAATGCTCTTATATTCATTACCACTGTAGGCCTGTGGGCTACAGGCACATTTGCCAGGAAGTCGGAGGAATGTCAATGCGATGACTCGTGGACAACCAAGTTCGAGGAAGACTGTGAGCAAAAGCTTCTCCTGAGAAAGAGTGTAGAGAGAAATGAGCCGGCTGATCAAGAGTTCTTTGTATCACAGTGCAATATACCAGCCGGGTTACTTTCCAACCTCACTCTTATTTCGGCGGACCGCCGTCAAACAAGACAGACGAGATATGGAAACGACTTTCTCCCCGTGAGTGCATCCTTTCATTCCAACTTGAGAAATAGAATCGCGACTGACGGAATCACCTATTAGCTGGCGATGGTATCGTGGAACTTCCAATTGCAGCTGCAAAGAACCTTCCCGAGTCCCTACCTGCCCCAAATAATCCAGAGACTGCGTTGGTCTACGGTGTATCAGTCTTCCACCAGCTACACTGTCTGGTATGGAGCCAATTCATGTTCAATATATAATATCTAACCTCTTGCATAGAACTTTCTCCGGTTCGCCTATTATCCCTTATCCGTGAAAGACATGGACGAGGAAGAAGTTGCCTTCCACCGCGACCATTGCCTCGACTATATCCGACAAGTTCTCATGTGCCATGCAGACCCTACTTTCGAGCCAATGTCCGAAGTGGGAATCAACGGCATGGGAGCTGTCCATCAATGCCGTGATTTCAATAAGATCTTTTCTTGGGCGTACGAGCATCGGTCGAATAAAGTGCATGGGTCGGGGTATACAGGTGGTAGACTTACGCATACACCTGCCGACCTGAATGATTTTGACGAGGGGCCACATGCCGGACATGGCCATTGAGCAAAGCTAAGTCTATTGGCTCGGCCAAATTCCCTATCTCTTTTAGGTCTGTTACCTGAGAATGTGTAAGTTTCCTATGAGATCTGCTGTACTAAATGCGGTAAAAACCAATTTCGGGGTACTTTTCTCTAGTTCCTTGCGTCCTGCAATGGCAGGGTCTCGTAAGACCGGGTTATCAGGGTGGAAATTAAGGCCGTAAATAATACAGCATCGTATTTCGTAAGGAAGATATCAGACATCTACAACTCACTCCTAGTACTATATCCTCTGCCCGTGATTCATCCGATTCCTTGCGGTACCGTTCTGCCTTGGTGGTGATCGGCTGCAACGTCTTTTCTTATATTCCAGAAATGCGCTTGAACCGTACAGATAGTTCTGCGTTCTACTACAGGACAGCTTGAAATTAATCTAGCTTTAGTGGGGCGAACGCCTAGCTTGTCACTTGGAGCATTCCTTTTCTTGGTTCAAATGGCTGAAGTGGATTCGTTCCCGTCCCGCTCGTTACTAGCAACTGCATATTGCCCTACAAGTCAATTGACAGTTCAGCAATTGACAGGATGGGAGCACTTGCCTGAACGTATTGCCCCGATTGCATTTCCCAAGCCGCGGTATCCGTAGCAACCCTAAAGCGCTTGTAAATCACGTTATCACGCTAACGACCCACAGTAAACATTAAAGGGGTCCAAAGGCTTAGTTACGCTTGGGGTCGCGTCTTTGTTTCGTATTTCTCACGTACCACGCCTTGGTGTTCAGGTTGCCTCCTAGACGACACAGGTCGGTATTTTGTATATATGACAGGATCGACACTGCAACGGAAGCACACCATAGGGTCCCATTTAGTGCATCTATATTACCCTGGACGCATGGTAGCCTCTTTCTGTTTCTTCCTCGTGCAGCTCAGGATACTTGGGCGTGCTTGATTCTCAGCGACCAAAAGGCGGCAAGGGATGGGAAATTCATCAAGCGCGGCTTGAAATCCGAGGTATATGTAGCAATATCTTTGCAAGAAATCTATCCCATTGCATATAATAGTTTTGTCTGTACTCAATGTCTCAAGAATATATTATTTATTGCAGTACATAATGAATATTCTACCTTTAGTTAATTATGATTCATGATTCATACGCTTGCACCGTACGTACTGGCAGTAAGCTGATATCATAACTCTGTACGGAGTACATACAGCGTATTAAATATTCAAACAAGCAACAAATAAGTAAAGATGAGTTCTGGTCTAGATAGTGAATTAATTACGATCATAATTACGCGGCTCTGTTTATTTCTCAATGAAGGTGGGCCATATATGAACTCACTTTCAGCTGAACCCACCTGCATTCTGCATACCACCTGGGCATACATATATGCATGTCGTAGCATCCCTAACGAGCTAGATTACAACCTAACCAAAGTACATAGATTGGCATTCTATACCTCCTTTGGCCATATCTACGAACACTGCAAGTGACTGCATTTCGAGCCCCCTACATAATTACAAATGGACCACTCATATCGCAGGATGAGGTGGCATTGTATTTGCATCGGCTGAACTGATATCCTGGTTACTCAGCTGGGTCCATGTGCATTTTCTATGCTCTTCATATTAGCAAATGTGGATATTTGCAGATCTGGCCCGCGGGGTAGGGCTCTAATTTCTCTATCTATGTTTATTTTCTATCCTTACTTCAGTGAGGCCTGATGCAACTGGATTAGAGAGGTATGCAGGATTAGCGGAGGATATAGGATGTAATTCTAGGTAGCAATTTGAGAGCGGAGCAATTACGAAAGATTATCTCTCACTTTGACCATAGTGCTGCAACTCTTGTGGTTATTTGACTCTAAACATTTGAGCCGCTCTTTTGTCTTTCTCTCTGATCTCGGCTTTATTTCAGTGACTGACAACATGTGGCCTTTGAAGCCAAGAGGCTCCGATTCGAAGTACCGAGAAATAAACAATAATGACGGAGAAGATACAGCACTTCCAGTGCCTGAAGATCATAGGCATTGGAATCTTCTCCTATACATTGTCATCTCAATCCTTGCAACTGGGTGGACTACGACCGCAGTTCTATATTGGAAGTCATATACTGCCCCGAAAATCAGTGGCAAGTTTCCGCTCGGCACATTTACCCCTATTCCAGAAGACGTGTTTAAGCCAGTTAGAAGGGTATTTCAACCGGATGAGAGGTACATTGGGAATTCGAAAGAGGTAGATCACCATTGGGATGACTTGGTAGCTGGTGAGATGACGACCACTTCCTTTTCATCATTGCTTACTCACACTCCATAATTATAGGCCATGATGCTGTCTGGATTGAGGACCCCGACAAATGGGGTTTGCCCGAGGGCATCGTCGCGCCATTCGATCATCCCCACGAGACCGATCCTCCACAACATGATTTCTATGTGATCTCGATCCTTCACCAGCTTCACTGTCTAGTACGTTTGGGTCCGTAATCTAATTAAAGAATTTGACTAACTCCAAGTCACAGAATATGGTTCGCTTTCAGTTTTGGCAAGCTCGGGACGGTGTCGACCTCGATACCGAACATGATGCAGTCAAATGGAATTTACATGTCCTGCACTGCTTCGAATACCTCAGGCAAGCAATTTCGTGTGGGGGAGATCTCATAATAGAAGGGTCAAGCCCGATCAAAGTTGGAAAAGGTAGAGTCAACCCTCTCCAATATACATTATTGTCATACACTTGTCTAATGCTTTTACAGGACATGCTACTTCCGTTACTGGATGGGGAGTCGAGCACGACTGTATTGACTTCGAACTTTTGCGTCAGTTCCAGATTGAACAGGAAAGAAAATTCAATCTGACCTGGCAGCATGATTTCCTTGGATGATATGGGAAGCCAAGGCCAGGCTCTGCTCCTTCGAGGTTGTTCTAATCCTGAGCATTCTTCTAAATTGCTATTCGCCGATTAGAGAATCTGATCTTCCTGGACGCAATGGCAGAGTTTCTGTAGCGAACAATGGCCTGTTGGTATCTGCTACTATCTGGAACCCAATCGAACTATGACTGTATGGATTAACACATCCGTATGGTAAAGAACAGCTTCCCTAAAACTCTACATTGGTTATCTATATAAGATTTAAAGAGCAAAATAAAAGTAGAAACATATAACAGTGAGGATTCGCTGGTAGTCACCCACCTAACTACTAACTCACCGGCGTATGGCTTATACACAGTCAATAGTTGGGTGGGTGTCGCCCGGGTAAGAAATGGGTAAGCGCTGCTTTACAGTCGCGCGACTAGGGGTGAGTAGGGTGAGTACGCTATAGATAGGGTGAAAATCGGGGTAATAATTACCCGAGTCGCGCGACTACTATATTAACCCCTTTAGCTGAACTAACGATAGAATATCATTAGATTATTATTTCCCTTAGAATACTCGGCTTAGTGTCAGGATCCTAGTACTAAGAAGGCTGATGCCTGAAGTATGATACCTGTCATGGTACGTGGAAGCACCCGTCCCGGGTACGTAGGGGACTGTGGACTAGACAGGAGTAATGATTGCTGCCTACACAGCCTCTATGGGTTATATGACCTATAACCTATATATTATCCTCATATACTGCTTCTTTAGAGAAGCAGCTATTAGTTCTAATATACTGTGAGACCCCCAGGTATGGAATGCCTAAGGGAATGCTGTATGTAATGGAGGATCGGGAAATAGAGACAGTAGTATACGCAGTGGTATATTAGAAACTAATAGCTACTTCTCTAAAGAAGCAGCATATAAGGATAATATACAGATTGTAGGTCATATGATTAAAGGGGGCTGTACAGGCAGCACACACGGCTCCTGCCTAGTCCACAGTTCCCCACGCACCCTGATAGGTGCAATACCTCAGGCATCAGTCTTCTTAGTACTAGGGTCCTGACAGATAAAAAGGTGAAAATTTATAAGAGTCAAGTTTAAAGCGATTCTGGGCTTATAACTAACAGAAAAACGGTAGTAAGGCAAATATATATATGGCAGAAAAATCTCAATCAATTCTCTAACTCTCTAAAATTATTATGGGTTGGCGCGATGGCGTCTAAAACCTGCCGTAGTATGGTTGACGCTTTTGACACCAATCTGTATGTGCGCATCAGTATATGCAAATAGAGCATGTGACCAAGTACCATAGTTTGTTTCCACTTTCAACTCTTCATCCTCCTCATCAAGTTTCTTCATTTCCAACTCACCTTTCTTCTGCTTTCTGACCTTCTCATAATTTCGCACTTTTATCTCTTATCGAATTAATCATGGACGACGACGACCACGTCCCGCGTTCATGGTTCCCTGAGGGGCTCGATCCAGGCGACGAGGTCACCCTCAACAAGCCCACCCGCTCGGAATGGGTAATCGACAGACTGGTCAATAAGCACAGCTACCAATGCGCAGACCGGTCTCTCGACTCTTACGCATGTGTTCTGTTCGAATGCCACAACGCTGCAGGTGGACAAGAGGCTTTTATGCGCGTTTACGCCCAAGTTCCACACACCTGTTATGAGGATGCGGACCGAGCTACTCGCACCCGAGAAGCGACTGAATTCACACCCCCCGAGCTAAAGGCATACAAGTTTCTTAAAGATAAATGCTCGCAAAATACACCTCTACTACTAGCATACAAGCAAGGGTCTCAGGATAGTAGGTCAGGGGCAGTTCCTAGAGGGCATCTTACGTGGATTGTATGGGAGAAGGTCCCTGGAGATCGCCTAGGAGATTTCAAATCTGCTTTTGTGTACTGGGATATGGACCGTGAGGAACGAAAGCGTGTCCGTGAGGCCTTCCTTCGAGAGCTTCCGTGAGTCGAACACCTTTCTATTGCCAAGGGTAATGCTAATATGGAATCACTATTATTAGGAAGGCCCAGCATATGGGGTATTTCCCTGAAGGGGCCCGCCCTCGGAATCTAGTCTGGAATTCGGATACCGGTGCTCTGTATGCCGCTCATCATGTTTATAATATTGGGAGTTCGACTAACGTATTGCTACAGTTATTTTGTTGGTTTCCGGGATGCAGAGGGTTTCAAGGCTAAAGGCACTTTCGGCATAGAGTGGTTGCCACGTTTTGATCTTGCTAGGCCCCCTCGATCTTACCTATGGAACAAAAGTTTCAATGGTGATATCTCGGACTGGAAAGTCTGATTTGATCATTGCTTCATGTAATTGGACATTGTTCCTTTTGATCATCTTAGCTCATTATTGCCAGAACTACGAGGGAGGGGTGCAAGGTGAGTGGGCAATACGACTTGTTTGCTGTCGAGTACTGGGACAGGGGAGTAGAGGAAGCCCAAGGAGCACACTATGTAGCTACCTACTCTACAATACACCCCGTGCAAACAATCCCAACAATTACTCTAGTCTTAGTCTTCTCCACCTGTCTACTCCATCAGTCTCTTAGCCTTTCCCTTCTCTCTACTCGATCAGTCAATCTCAGCTTCTCTACTTGTCTCTCTATTAGCTCATTAGGCTTCACTTCTTATTCACCAATCTGGCTCTCAGACTTCTTTACTTGCCTCTCTATCGGTTTCTCGGCCTTCTTATCTGATTACTTCGCAGCTTGTGAGATCCTATCATCTGAACAAAGCACTTACGACTGAAAGTAACATATTCATCTCATCAAATCATCACGTCTATTGACCAACGCACTCGAATTGAGAAAGCAATGGCTCAGATCATTACTCTAGCTGCCCGAGAACTTCTCCTCGAGACTCTCCCGCCCCTCCTGGTAGGGCCCAACCATACCAACAGCAGCGCCATCCACAAGGTCGATTTTGTGGGCCAGTTGATGCCATGGCCAAACTTCGAAAGGGAAGTCATTGCCGCCCTCTCCTCGCCAAGCACCAATTGGAGCACCGATACCCTTGATGTTCGCATTGTTGGCCCGAGAGCAGAAAACTCAATGTCCGTCGAACAGCTCGTCCTCGGAGACGAGACCGGCCTCCAAGGCCGTTTGAACGAGCGGCTTGGACGGCCGGTCACCGCTTCGCTGCAAGCCCAGCATCACCACCTACGGGCGGCAGACTTCAAGGCCAGTGCGGCCGCAGCAGCGGGTTACACAAGGGTCCCAGATATGGTGATGCTCAACGATGTCTCTGCCATCAAGGTCATTGGGAAAGTGAAAACCCCATGGCCCGGCGCACACTGTGATATGCTGAGTATGGGAGTGCAGGATTTTGAGATTGCACACGGAAAACTATTTCGTCGCAGGCTAGGTATGGTATACACTCTAGTTATCCGCGGTGAATTCGTGTACTAATAGTTATGCTATCTTACAGGCCAAGTTTCTCGTTATATGAAGGAACTGAACACCAAGCACGCCTTTCTCTCGACCTACGACAAAACCATTTTCCTCAGAAAGGTTGACATCGGAGGAGTTTGGACTCTCCAATTCTCTCCTGTCATCCAATATGACCGTCCTTATAACCCCCAAACGGAGACTATTACCGCCCAGCAAGGGCTTTTCTATTTAGCCCTTCTTAGACAGTCTGAACCCGCGTTTACTACCAGGGCCAGCACTAGAGCCCCACAGCGCAACCAGAAGTGGACTGTTTCAAGAGAACGACAGTAAACATGGGTTCAGATTATCCGAGAAGGGCTAAATGGAGAAGCCCATGCCGTATGGTAATAGTCTCCGTTTTAGGGTTATACGAACGGCTATATTGGAATGACAGGAGAGTACTAGAGAGTCCAAACTCCTCCGATATCAACCTTCTGAGGAAAATGGCTTTCAAGTCCCTTAGGTCTCTCCCCAGTCCCTTCAAATATCTTCAAACCCCCCCTCCCTTTTTTCCCCTCACCGAGGATGCTTCTCTCCGCCCCTCAAAATCAACTTCACGCAACTCGATGCCCCGGTTGTTACAGCAATTCTAAACAATACCCCTGATATCTGGTGGTCAATTAGTGGGACTGGGTTCTGAGATATTGTGGTGGAAAGCCGTCTAAGCTTGGGTCGCAAGTTGAAGAGAGAGAAAAATGCACACCAGTCCCTCATACAGGCTTTAGGCGCCATGGACTTTTTTTTTCAGAAATGACAAGGTCATTGATTTTCTCATTGCACATATTAGTCTCTCGAACATAGGATAAAATAGCCTCTATTTTTAGAGATACTTCTAATCGATAGATCTTACTCTCTCTATCATACAATTAACAAGAATTATCCAAGGCTATTATGCTGTCTGGAAATCAACTGATATCTACCAGATAAGTCCCGTAAATTCTACACCTGAGCGGTCGCTGCACCAATAGACACGGTCTACCTGCTATTACTCTGCTTCAATTGACATATTCAAGTTTACAGCAAGGGTTTTCTTGGTTAAAATGAATAGAGCTTGACAAGTCCCGCAGCACCAAGGCAATTTTGGTGCTGCGATATGGTGCTGCGAGATACTGCGGGACTAAGCCAATTTTGGTGCTGTTGTATAGTGCTGCAGCACTACCGCAGCACTAGTTTTAGTACTACACTAGTATAATTATACTAAGGATTACCTAAAATAGATAGATAAAATGCTGACTTATTTTAATAAATTACTGCTTTTTACTAATATATTGCTATTAGGAGACATTACAGTCACTTGCTACTAAAATTGGTATAGATCATCTAAGTAATGTGGGAACATCTGTCATTGTCTGTGTCCCATGTTGGTCTATAAATGAGTGTAGTTCCAGAAATTATTAATCTAATACGTTTGGAGGTTTGTTCAGCATCCGAAATGTTTTATGGGAGTCAATTCAGAAATAAAGATAGAGCAAGCTAGGTACATAGCACCATCCCACTTTAGTTGTCATCAAAAATTCATCCTTTCGTTGGATTCGTCTCTCGTGGCTGGCTGTTGAAGCATTCCATCGTTTCAGCTGGCCGAAGCCCTTATGCTGCAATCTCCTCATGCTCTTCAACTACACGCTTGGAAGCCGAAGACCAAACCCAAGCCGGCTCGGGCTTTACTTGCTCTTCAGTCTCGCGCTTGGCGGATGAAGACCAGACCCAGGCCGGCTCGGGCTTTGCATTCTCCTCGGCATCACGCTTAGAAGACCAGACCCAGGCTGGCTCGGGCTTTGCATTCTCCTCGGCATCACGCTTAGAAGACCAGACCCAGGCCGGCTCGGGCTTTGCATTCTCCTCGGCATCACGCTTAGAAGACCAGACCCAGGCCGGCTCGGGCTTTGCATTCTCCTCGGCATCACGCTTAGGAGACCAAACCCAGGCCGGCTCCGCAATTTCGGGCTTTACATTTTCTTCAGGCCCGCGTTTGGAAGCCGAAGACCAAACCCAAGCCGGCTCCGCGGCCTCGGAATTGATGGCCAGACCACTGGCTACTGCAGCCAAGGTAACGGCCAAAACTGTCTGAGCGATGATAAACCTCATATTGAAGACTATGTATAATTAGTCTCTGTATACTGGGTTTAAAATTAACTTGGTAGCATTGATCTCACAATTCGTAGGCTTAGACTTAGAGTTCAGATGTATTTGAAGAAGATACTTTGAAGTTCGATATTGACGTCGATGAAGAAATGCATTCTAGGTGGTCAAGAAGCCAAGTATTTATAAAATCGACCTGGGGCAACCCCAGTACACGCGAACCACATCCTATGTGGCCATGTAGGCAACAAGTTACCTTGCATTAAGCCTATGAGCTGAACTACTCCCGTGTTGCCATCGGGTGTTCTCGCCTCCTTTCGGGAGAATCAAACATCGTGTTGATGCAGCGCGCACATAGATGTGAGGTGAGGGGCGATCCCTTTTCAGGCCAACTACTTCAACTCTTCTCGTGATGTTACATGAGCTGTCCCGACTCTGCCTCTCCTCAGTCCACAATTTCCTCATTGATTGAAATGTGCCTTAACATGCACTAAGCTAGGGATCACTAGCTACCTATCTCACATTTTTATGGGAGTTGGGAAACATTCCTCATATCAGACTAATCGCACGAGTTATATATTTGAAATAAGTAGTACCCAAATTACGATGAATGCCGGTAATACTCACCGATCTTTCCGCTCAGTGGGGTGGGCGTAACACCTAGTAATCCCTGTTAGTGTAGATCAATAGAACCCTTGTGCGCTATTACATGCAGGTCTTGAGATAGGAATCTCTGACCATTTCGAAGATGGACACCTAGAAAACATCCATTTCCCACTCTGCCGACGCATTCGATCATTGCGGCTTAATTTTTCTAAATTTTTTCCTTTTCGCTGAAAGTGTTCTATAATTTTACTATAAACATCTTCAATCACAGCTAAATGAAGCTGCAAAGTATACTGTCATCGACTATGTCGCGAGCTTATACACTTACGAGTGTACATGACGAGAAACACCAACATGTCGATGACGACAGAGCTACCTCTAGTGAGGCTCTGTTAGGGGACACCAGACTTCGATCTCATGTATCCAGAAGAATTTACAGGGCATATCTTATTCTTCTCCCCGTCGTCTTTGGGCTAGGAATTGTCCTAGGTTTTACCAGCGTTTCATTCTTCAAGACGCCTGAGTTTGTTCCAGGACTACGTCTAAAGACACCTATACCCAACGAGGTTTTTGAGCAGCGATTAAAAATCCCATTTGTCCCCGACAACAAATACTATGGCAGTGGTGAAGCTGTCGATAAAGCCTGGAAAGAAATCACAAGCGGTAAGCTGGCTATCTCGCCAGATAAATGGCAAAATAAAACTAACTTTGATCCCCAGGAGGTGATTCCGTCTGGCTGCAAAATCCATCGGATTATGGCCTAGCCCAGGGTATTTCTGATCCTTTGAACATGGATAATACGGATGAGCGGTTCTACGTCCTGTCAAATCTTCACCAACTTCACTGTGTCGTAAGTCACAATAGTTTCTACGAAAGGAATGGCAATAAATCTAACCTTTACTGTCCGTTAGAATGTTGTTCGACGGCGCTTTCGCCACTATGAGTCTCAAACCAATCAACCTGTCAACGAATCGGACGCAATTTCAGCGGCCTGGACAGAGCATACTGACCACTGCTTTGAATATCTCCGCCTCTCAATCACATGCGGTGATTTCCTAGTTCTGGAACCTGCTAGTCCACCGGGGACAGCACCAGAGCTGACAGCTGGCGGGCTGGGATGGGGAGTAATCCATGAATGCGTTGACTTTGACGCGTTGCGGAAATGGCAGGCTGCTAAAAGACAGGAGTCTGATCTGCAGTAGTATTCTACCGATATCTACACTCGGTGAAATAATACGAGGCTTATTTTACCAATACCCACATTTACCTCTATCTTCAGCCTCTTTCAGTATCAATACCTCACGTACTATACGTAGACCTCAGGATACTGTTGATGTATTTTATTCCGTATTTCATGGTAATATTACCTAGATTACCAGAATGCGGGGATATCGGATAGCGGCACGAACCGAACCCGATCAGATCGAGTCCACTCCGATAACACCTGAGCATCTTGGAATGTGAGATGAACGTGTTGCGATAAGGAATATGACCTCAGGATAGGACGTACCCCTCCTTCTGCAAGGGCTCGGAAATCATTGTGTTGTTTTTGTATTCGTAAAATAGTATTTACTAGTATTACCAGTCGGACTCCCGACGGATAACGAGAATTTCTAATTTGTATTACAAAGTCTGATTGGACAATTGATACTACATAGATCTAAGGCAAGGATATCCCAGGATAGGTCAGCTGGTTTAAGCTAACGCCCTATCTCTCAGCCGCATCGATCACATGGGAATAAATTTCTGTTTCAAGCACCCACCAGTTACTGCTGTAACCAATACCACATCCCTGCTACTGCTAAATTTCTCAATTGTCACAACTCTCACTCTTACCAATCAATTACCACCTCCGTGACAACTCAGCTACTACGTCACTTGAACGTGAAACAAGCAAATATGGGCTCTCTATTCGAGGCATCTCCCACGTTCTCAATTGAGAGCGAACGCCTCCAAATCTCCTACTTCTTCCCCGACTCTACCGAGCACTGTCTTTTCCTCATGAAGCTATGGAATACAGAGGAGTTTATGAAAACATGCGGTCGCACCAGCATCACCACGGCAGAGAAAGCCTCCAATTTCCTTCGGCACCGCGTGCACGCCGACTACGCCCGAAACAACTATGGCATGTTCCTGGTCTCGCTGAAGCCGCATGCGCACGCGTCTTTGGCCGAGAGTACCCCTATCGGCACCGTATCATTGATGAGAGGCGAGCCACCGAATGCTTATCTGGTGCCTGACATTGGATATGCGTTTCTGCCCGAGGAGACTGGAAAGGGGTACGCCACCGAGGCCGCGCTTGCGTTGCTGGCGTATGCGAAGAGGGAACTCGGGGTTGACTCGGTTTTTGGATTCTGTGGTAAAGATGATACGCACAGTGCGAGGGTGTTGGAGAAGATCGGGCTTGAGTTTCGGGGACAGAGGAAGTTGAAGGTTTTCGGAGGGAAGGAGTGTGCTGTTTGGGCGCTTCCTAAGATGAGCCAGGACCTGACAGTGTATGGCTTGGATGATTGAGAAGCCTACCTACATAGACAGCCATTATATCAGATAGAAGAGATCATCGTGCATTTCGGTCGTTGGCCTGTCTCCGGTTCTTTGGGAAATTTAGCGAGGATACTCTAGAAAATCGGAAGAAAAAAGGAGCTTCATAATCTACAGTGGACAAAGAAGATTATAACATGAGAGCAAGCCCTCATAGATACCTATATAAGCAACACAAATAAATCAGAAATAAATCAGACACCCACTGCTTCGAGAAACATGGAAGCAAAGTCAGCCATCTAAGTAATTTGCTGGGTACCTTCGAGCCCATCAGACCGTGCGGCAGCATGGGCCCAGATTGTAGCCTCAATCCTCGCACGCTGTGCTATCTCCTCAGTCGAAGTGTTATCCCCAAAGACTGAGTCCATTTCCTCCAAAGTTTTCCCGTTGGTCTCCGGAACGAAGAACCACGTCCAAACAAACGACAGGGTGCAAAACACACAGAAGAACGCATAAGTTCCATACCCAGTGTTTTGCACAAGCGGCGGAGTGATAAGCCCAATGATGAAGTTGTTAAGCCAGTTCGACATTGTGGAGTATGCCATACCCTTAGCACGTAGCGAAGAGGGGAAGATCTCAGCCGGCATAGCCCAAGGGATAGGACCCCAGGTAGCGCCATAGGTAAGCATGAAGAAGCACAAGAAAGCGACGCAAACCCAGCCCTCTGCGGAATGATCAGGCCAGTCCGATTGGAATTGGCTCATCAAGACAGCGATTATGAAATGCGCAAGAACCATGCAGGCAGCACCGCCAAAGAGCAAAGGCCTCCGGCCAAATCTGTCCATTCCCCATAGTGACCAGAAACAGGCTAGCATTTGGCAGATGTTGATGACGCCGGACATGTGGAGTTGCATTTCGTAGTCTAGACCCATTCCGGCGAATAGACTAGGCGAGTAGTAGATGAGAGCGTTGACACCACCGAATTCTGCGAGAAGGATATGGGTTAGCCTCTGTGAGGAGGAAAAGGAGAGAAAGTGGTGGTTAGACCACGACAGACAGATACGCACGTTGGAAAAACATCAGTCCAATACCAACATGGGTACGCTTCCAACACCCTTTGCGGAAACAGTCCAGATAGCTCCAGACATGAAGCATAGCACGGCTGCTGTAACTTCCATCCTGGCACTTTGGGTGTCTCACAACGCTCAATTCTTTGCAGTAAGCAACTTCGGCGCGAATCTCAACCCACTCTCGGATGACGCGCTCGTCAGTAGGGTCGACACCGCGCAACTTGCAGAGAGACTCGAGTGCTTCTTCATCTCGGCCTCGGCCAGCGAGCCAACGAGGTGAATATGGTAGGAATGGAATACCGACGGCGAGGAATACGGCAGGAATCATCTATCGGTGGTTAGGGTAGGGAAAATCATGGTTAACAAAGAAGACATACCTGAATGAGGAAAGGAAGGCGCCACGACCATTCACTCGGAATATATCGTGTACCATAGGTGATGTAGAAAGCAACCACAATAGCAGTAACAATAGAAAGCTCCTGTAGAACAAGCAAAGTACCACGAATCTCCGGGGGCGCGATCTCAGAAATGTAAAGTGGTGCCACCATGGCCAGCATGCCGACACCGATACCTCCAACAAACCGGGCACCTACAAGCATTGAGAAACTCATAGCTCCTGTCTGCAGGGCGGATCCAAAGAGGAAGATTATCACTGCAACCATGATAGACCACTTGCGAGAGATCTTGTCGGCAATCCATCCCTGATTCATTGCTCCGATAAAGGCTCCGAGCTCGATCATGGCAGTGAGGATTCCTTTCTGGAATCCAGCGCCGGGTGCATCGGGACCAACTTCGGGGAATCTTTCGAGAAATTGGTCCATTGTAAGAGTGATTGAGATGACACCTTGGTCGTAGCCGAACATGGCTCCGCCCAGGGTTGCGAAGGCGGCGCATGCTGCCACATACTTGTTTGTGAGGATGCCCTTCAGGCCTGTTTTGCGACGGTAGATTAGTATGTGATGAGTATAGAGACAGTAGGGGAAGCAATACCAGTTTCGCCATATGGTTTTCTTTCTGATCCAAGGGGTGATATGAGAGTAGTAGGGTCCGATTTTATTTCGGATTCAAAATGTTCGCTCTCTGGGGAGTCTTTCTTGTCCGCCATGGTCTTCCTTGAAGCCCGGTAGCTAAGAAGCAGTGATATTTAAAGTGGGTAAGAATGAGGTAGTTGTCCTAAGAAAGGCTCTTAGTATCCAATTGAGAAAGAAACAATGGAGGATATCTTTCAAATATAAGCAAAACTGCGGAATGTGAACCTTGTTTCATTCAACGGTACACCAACCACAGCCACTACAATTACCCCAACTCTTTTGCCCCCTTTAGAGTGAACGTACAATGCATTCGACACTTAGAGTTGGGACTTGACGCCATCGGCCGGGAGAGAATGCGGGGAAGACCCGCTTGGCCATGAATCTCGAGGCTTTTCGCGGGGCCCCGGGATGTCACCAAGTCGGACACCATTTTCCGGCTCGGACACCATTTTCCCATAGCCGGTAAAAAACGCCGCTTTCAGTATCATTGGCGAGGAAGGCACCCCACGAATATCATGACTGTCTAGTTCGGAAGTGATCTGCGGGTGCCAATGAGTTTCCAATCCTTCAGTCAGACGGTGTACAGCGTGAGATAGCAGCGCACCTGAACAACCGTTGTCTAATTGGTTGAACGGTCGGTTGGTTGGGTTTGAATTTGGTAGAGGATGAACATCTCCAGATTTACGATAGATTAAGATCCTGATATCGCATGTTATATTGCAAAGTCGTTTAGCAGGAACTCTTCATTTTGAACCGCCATTCCAGCCATGTATGTTTCAATTTCTGCATAGCTGGTTCTGAATATGTATATCATGTATAAACTTCTCTATCCTTCTAGCTATAACACCAAGATGGGGAAAACCCCTCAAAAAGCCCCCAAAACGAATTCTAAACAGAGTTCCAAAGGGCCCCCATATGATGTCCCTAACGCCTCTCATACCGTAAGCCATATATCAGATCAGAACATAAAATAGGGGCATTGAAGGAGCGAAGGAAAGTGAGGCGGTGAATTTGTGTACTTAACCAATCAAATGCTGGCCATATCCGGTACACCATGCGGTGATCACGGGGTATTTCGGGTCCTACCCCGGGCCAGTCCCGCTTGTCCGATAAACCAGCAAACCTCGGCACCTCCCGCAGGGCTGGGCAACTTGGCTGATTTATGGCGTATGACTTCTCAGCCCATGACGTCCTCACTCCACACTAAGTGCCTCCCTGCCCTCAGTTGATCAACATTTGAACATAGATATAGGTGTGCTGCGCCAAAATAATCTTTTCTATACACAGGAGTCATCAAGACGCAAACCCGGCAGATCCACCTATAAGCTACGAAGTCCATCACAAGGCAAGTTATATGGGATTTTCGACTGTGTGGCTTGCGAAGGAGTCGGCTCATGAGCCCGAACTTCTTTTTGCCAAGGTCAGCACGGCTATTGCGTCGGTTTATGATACCAGCCGAAAACTAATACGTCTCGTTAGAATGGCGCGAGCTGAAAAACCGCAGGTATTAAGCATACATCGCAAGCCATAACCATGATACAGACTGCACATCAGCATACTAAACTACATCATCAGTGCTTTGAGATCGTAAGCTTCTAATGTCAACTAGGACATGCCCATAACTACATGCAGCCCTAGAAGATCCATGGGATCATGTAGTTCTATTTCAGACTGTATAGAATATATGATATGATTTGATTGATTCATAAACCATTCAAAGCAATGGCTAAAGGGCCACGGGTTGCTTCTCCTAGCAGGCTCCCATTATTTGAGCCTATGGCCTAATATGAGTCCAAAAGGTTCAGGTGCTACCGCTATGCCTCAGATCTTAATCTTCCTATATCGCAGTCAAGGTTCGGAGTTTAGAGATAAAATACACCTAAGAATGGCCAATAGAGTGCTCTGTTCATTATCTAAAGCTACCTCAGGATGGTGTGCTATAGCCAATATCATTCAGGTCCTCCAATGTTGGAGAAAGGAACCCACCCACGGGTGGCGGTCCTGGGGCCCCGGAGCCGGGGGTGGATCCAGATGAGTCATCGGATCTTGGCCTGGAGTCTGGACTGCCCCTACATAGGAAAGTTAAGCGCTCCCATCCCCAGTTCTTAAATTCAACATGTTTTACCAAAGCAACCTTCTCTATGCCCAGGAGCTGTCAATATATGTCCTGAGGGGAGACCAACCTGTCACCCTTGGAGACACCTAAGAATCTCAGCGGCTGAACATCGTACTTGCAATGAACGGTTGAATCCACCCGAGAAGAGCTTTTCGATGTTCATAAGCATCGAACCGCTCATCCGCTTCGATGGTACGCCTTAGACAAAGGATGCTGACCAGCCGGTCAAGGCAACAGAATGGATCGACTGGATCGACGAGGATGTGGAAGATATTCGGCTTGATATCGGAGAAAATTTCCGATGATAAGCCAATACAAGATCTTCCCGTTAATTCCGCTCGAAAATTGCGAGATTTCGAAGTTTAAACGCAAGTTTGCAGATAATATGCTCGATCCAGAGCGTCGACCTCTATTACAAGTAGCTCAAGGATCCAGCTCATCCTACCGAGCGCATTACTACAGACACAGCTTGAAGTGTGCAACCTATAATGTCTCAGACAATCTTTGGCACGAAATAGAAAACATGGATAGCAATGATCTTCGACCTCGGTCGATAACCTGCACAAGAGAATGTCCAACAAGAGGGCTGCATATAAAGATGACTAATCCATAGGGATCCCGAGGTCCAAATTGATCCCGAGCTCGGGATCCGCAGTGGAATTATCCGGGAAGGCCTGAGACTCGGGACTGCGGCACTCTGATTACCGTCACTTGACATTTTCAAGATTTTGACCGGGCTCACCGGCCTTTCATGACTTCCAAGAGAAAATTGCTCTATTTCTATATCATGACTATAAGTTAACGGATCAAGTCGTACGGATTGAAAAAAAAATGTTATAGCATTGGGTATTAGCAGCAAGATAAGTTATGCATAACATTAAGATGTATAAAACTCGTATTACAAACTATACTGCTGGCATAATCCGAACTGACGCACCGGCGGTAATAGACTGCGGACCCTTCTGACATCATCAGAGTAGAGCTGATCATATTCTTTTTTAATGTCTTTGATCCCGCACAATGTGACCAATTCTAAACAATTCTAATATGAACATACTCATTACTATTTATAATTTAGTGTAACATACACTGATCCCCCCTGCCAATTTTGAACTGTGTCACTCTAGTTGGCCACATCGTCGATCTCCCGCGAAGAATGGACTCGGCATCAACAACTTTGAGGCCCAGATCCAGTCGCCATGGGTCAATCCGATCGGAGGACTGGCCTGGGGAGGTCAGCGTTCCGATCTCCCCACACCGCGAACGGAAGCATGTCAGTGGAGAGGGGCGAAATGCCGGGGTCAAAGTCTTGAGTTCGTGATCAAGTGAAGCAATACAAACCGTCGCTAACGGTAATGCTGGTAGACGATGGAAGGGTTGATATCAAAATCAACGAGCATATGCCACAACTAGCAGGGCTATTACATCGCATCCAAACGACAACTCGGCCACCAGATCTAGAGGGCAAACCGACCCCTGAACCAATACCGAAGGATAAGGGCAAAGACTTCCCACTGAAGCTGAACATCGTCATACAAGTTATCGGATCTCGGGGTGATATCCAGCCGTTCATTGCGCTGGGGAAGGAGTTGAAGGCATGTGGACACCGCGTACGTCTGGCAACACACCTCTATTTCCGGGATTTTGTACTTGAGGGCGGCTTGGAGTTCTTCAGCATCGGTGGAGACCCCGAACAACTGATGGCATTCATGGTCGAGAACCCATCCTTACTCCCCGCATTCAGCACGATTCGCAGTGGTGCCATACAAAAACGCCGGCGCGAAATGAAGGACATTATATACGGCTGTTGGAGGTCATGTATTGAAACAGGCGACGGCACAGATATGCATCAAATCAAAGAGGATCTCTGGAGTGACACTGTGGATTATCGTCGGAGGCCGTTTGTTGCCGATGCAATAATCGCCAATCCGCCCAGTTTGGGCCATGTTCATTGCGCACAGCGGCTGGGAATTCCACTTCATCTGATGTTTACGTGAGTCTACTTCCAGGCGTGAAATTGAGGGATACCTAATAAAATTCTTATAGAATGCCCTGGTCGCCTACACAGTCGTTTCCACATCCTTTAGCCGTTCTCCACCCGCAGGATTGCAAGCCAACAGTCGCAAACCTCGTGTCTTATTCCGTTGTGGATATGCTGATTTGGGAAGGATTGGGAGATCTTGTGAACTCGTGGCGGAAGAAGTGCCTCGCACTCGATCCGTTAGATTCGATCACGGCGCCGAGTTTGCCCCAGCGTCTCGGCGTTCCGTTCTCATATCTGTGGTATGGGTTGACCCGAAATTGGCAGATTTGGACCATTCACTAATTATAGTTTGCTTTAGGTCGCCGGCATTGTTGCCAAAGCCAGCCGACTGGGGTGATCAAATAGATATTTGCGGATTTTGTGTGCTACCTAGAAAGTCAAACTACCAACCCCCAAAAGAGATCGAAGATTTCCTCAAAGCAGGGCCCACTCCACTCTACGTTGGATTCGGCTCAATTGTGGTTCAAGACCAAGTCAAGCTAACTCGAATCGTGTTCGAAGCGATAAACCTTTCAGGGCAACGTGCAATCATTTCAAAAGGCTGGGGAAACCTCGGAATCGACGATGCCGACGTGCCAGATAATATCCTCATTGTCGGCAGCATACCACATGACTGGTTATTCCAGCACGTATCATGCGTCATCCATCATGGCGGTGCAGGTACCACTGCCGCAGGGCTTGCGCTTGGACGTCCGACGATCATCGTTCCCTTCTTTGGAGATCAACAATTCTGGGGAGGAATCGTGGCGATGGCTGGGGCCGGGCCGATGCCTGTCCCGTACAAGCAACTCACAGTTGAGAAGTTGACCGATGCAATTAAGACAGCATTGCTACCTTCAACTCAAGCGAAGGCTCAAGAAATTGCGGATAAGATGCGGACAGAGTCCGGTGTGCGGGATGGAGTACGCAGCTTTCATCGTCATCTTAACTTGAAGACTTTACAATGCGCAATATGTCCTACTCGTCCTGCTGTGTGGCACATTAAGCAAACTTCCATTGGGCTGAGTGCCTTTGCTGCAGCAGTACTGGTTGAAATGGGGGCTATCAAACCCGAGGATGTCGCTTTGTAGGTTGGCCTTTGCCAAAATATTTCACACCACTAATCAACTGTCCAGGAACCGAGCAGAGGAATATGACACATACCGTAATCCTGTCGGCCCAATTAGCGCAGGAGCTCAGGTGCTAGTTGGAGCGATTGCGAACTTCGTGACTGGGATCGGTGAGGTCCCTTATGACATCGTTGTGGATTTTGTCGAGGCCGGTCGTGCAATAGGTCATACTCGTGATCGCAGTGGTTCCTCAAGGTTTTCATTTGGCAAATCCCGCAAAAGTCATGATTCAAGCCTGGATAGTGATGACGATGAGTATCATGAACCTGCCGAGTATCATGGGCCTGCCGAGTGCCATGATGGACTTGGATCAAATGGTAATGATTTGATGAACCTCGACACGAACGACAGCGAGAAGGACCACATAAGACACAACAGAATGAACCATGAGTTACCAGCTAGTGCCGTGGGCCAAAAACAAGGCATACCGATTGACCAGAAGAAACTATTGAGTTATATAGAGACACCCCATGGGCAGGGTGTTATCTACGAAATACGTACTCACGGTAGTCGAATGTCGAAAAAGTTACTAAAAAGCATACTCTGGCTCCCGACAGACTTGACTCTCAGCTTGTCCAAAGGATTTCACAATGCGCCGATGTTGTACCACGACCGAATGGTGAAAGATATGCCCAAGGTTATGGGCTTCCGTAGTGGACTCGCGGCAGCTGGAACGGTATGTCACTCATCCTCGATGGGAAAAAAAAATATCATGTCTGACCCTTGACCTTCTAGGAACTTCGAGATGGATTTTATTACGGTATCACGGGTCTGGTCACCCAGCCTCAGATTGGCGCCAAGCAACAAGGAGCGAAAGGAATGATCAAGGGAATCGGGAAAGGGATTGGGGGTGTTATCTTCAAGCCACCAGCAGGTATGTTAACGCTATGCATCACCCAACGGCTATTTCGCCGCGGGAATCTCATTCTGACTCAACATTCTAGGTCTCTGGGGACTCTTTGGATATCCCTTGGTTGGAATTCGCAGACAACTTCAAAAGTCGCTAGGCAAGAACGTGGAGCTTTCTATTATGGCATCTCGGATAGCGCAAGGCATTGAAGACATGCGGACATCGACCGCTGACGACCGGGCAGAGGTTGCTAGAAAATGGCATATTCTTGAAGAGGAGCTTCATGCCTCTTACTAACGACGTCTTCCGAACAACGACACTTCTCATCAACGACCTCTCATGTATATGATGAAGCGAAGGATTGCATCCATACGGAGTACATATATGCATAATCTTACATACTAATTAATCAACTCCACATTTATGAACTAATGAATCATGTAAGTATTTCAAAGTGCCTCTCCGCTACATAGCCTTAAATCAATAGAATTATATTTACATAGTCTAGATATGAGGCTGATGATTGCCAAGACAAGATTCATAAAAACTTACATATCTCCGTGATCACTCAGCTGGCTAATATTCGTCGAAAAAATATAGACGGGTGAACGTCGACCTCGACTATAATAGCAACGGAAACAACCAACACCGTTATAGTGATCTAGCCAATGTCAGTTACATCTTCAACCGAAAAGCATTTGCACCACTCACACAACCCAGTAATACCCCCACAGAATTCATGTCCCAGCCTCCAGCATAGACCCTACCCCTAGCAATAGCATTCTGCTGCCTCCAGAATCGATACGCCCCAACCAAAGCCACGATAATAGCCACACAGTGACACGCGACCGACAGGGGTGTACCGACCTGACCAAACCCAAGACGGTCCGCCAACTCCTCCGCCGCCTGCAGACGGAACAGCTGTGCAATTAGCACGCCTTGTTGGGCAACGGTAAGGGAGGTCCGCAGATAAGCGAGGAATGTTCTCTCCAAGGCTTGGATGCAGAGTTAGAATTATGCAGATCGGCAAGTCGGGGTCGCAGTCGCAAAATACGCACCGAAATAATCCCGACTGCTCTTATGCGCCACTGTTAGAGTAATATTATGCGTCCAAAACCGGGTGAGCTTGCCCCAAGCCCCCTTTCGAGCTTGCCGGCGACGCTCGGCATCGGCACGTGACGCGAGAGCGCGTGCCGTAGTGCGACGCGTCACAACGTGATATTCATCGCCGGAAGAAGCAGACGGCGTTGAGTAGTCCAGCTCGTTGTCCTCACGTGTCTGGATCCGCTGGAGCTCGAGCGCTTCGCGGGGATCCGGGATGTTGTCGTTGACGCGCGGTCGGGTGTTCCGCAAAATGGCACCGGACGGTCGCCTAGGACCGGACGTTTGAGCAGGGACTTTTGTCATATTATTATACGTAGTCTTAGCCCGGAGAGAGCAGCATGGCTACGGCGTGGTGCGCTTTTGCCGTTGTCTTGAGAGATGGGAGGTTGAAATAAATTATCCCGTCCCCACATTTAAACCGTTATGCTTTAAGTCATCTACATACGTCTGCTCAAACACTATATCACCAAGGTACTCCGTACTCTGTAGAAGCTATACTATAGGTGGAAACGAATATAAATGCGACAGGAATTTTATGCTTAAAAATGGACCAATAACAGGCTTTCTGAGAATTGCGCCATCGCATAGGACAATGTTTATATTCATTTTTTTGTACATTTTCTCAAACCACCATGTCGATCCTACCTTCGTGTTGATATCAGGCCTCGATTTCTCCCTGCTTGAGATTCACCCAGTCGTACTGCTTATTGGTAAACACCTCAAGTGCAGGAGTGGAGACAATGTCAAACAAGGGGCCCTTGAGGAAGACTACTCCAGGGGCCTTGGGGGTTTTGGTGAACACTGGGCTGCAATAGGTGTTAGCTATAGTTATCACTGGACTTGAATTTGTATTCCATACCTGCCGCAGCTGGAACAAAAATGACGCTATTTCGAGGTTAGTTTTTTGTTCGAACAAACAATAGTACTTCGAGATGGACAACGATTTACCTTCACAACATTGCCACTATCGGAATTCTTGTCCTCGTAGATCTTCAAAGCCCCATTGGGATCCTCAACGGTCAAGTCATCTTCATTGACAATGTAGTTGACAGAGAAGGCTAAGATAGTTGTAAGCAATGTACACTCCACAGCTGCCTTGACGAATGTACTTACGACCACCACCTGCTTGCTTGCAGTTATTGCTACATTGCAGAATCATTTTAGTACATGACCATCAAGACAAATGATTGTAAGTTCAAGAATGATTTCATACCAGTGACAAATAGCTGAGGTCTCGGGTTGCTCGGGAAGAGTGACGCGAATGCTCTCGCAATTGCAATGGCCGTGGTAAGACATGGTGTCTGATTGATTGGAAGAGGTGGGGTTTTGTATATTTCAATATGCAGCTTGTTAGATCAGACATCCTGATATATATACTACTTTGCAGAAGTCAGGGGGGATTTCGCCCAGTGAATTAGTGGAGCTCAAGGGAATTGTTTCGCCATTGCCATTTCCGTGTACCCACTAGGTGCCCAATATGATTGCAGTTTTAAGTCTGGACTGGACTTTTGTTGTTTGAGCATTTCAGGAGAGAAAGGGGTATGGGTCGTAGTTAGTTGTAAGGGCAAGCAGTGATGTCTTGTAATCCTGACATGTAAGTAGGTATAGATCCTTACATGTGATGTGCCCGGACACTATATCAATTGGTTTGGCTAGTATAAATCGTACAGCCCGTATAAGCTGCGTAGTTTGAATATAACTGTCAGTCTCTAATAAGAAGTTATTCGAAAAGAAAAAAGGTCTAGACCTTCCATACGTAGTAGGTCTGTGCATCCCATGCAGGCGTACGGACGATCAAGTATACATACGGAGTAACTCTGTTATTAGATAGTAGCTCACCGCTATAGATCACCACCTTATCGGAGTGCTTTCGCCCAAGTTCCAGGATTTATATCGTTGTATGTACAATTATCAAAGGGCTCTGGTATTCGTTCTTCGTAGAATTACACCATAATTATGATTAATTACCGGATGAATTTATCTAATTTAATACTCTCTATCTAGCATAAAAACCCAATTTTCAATTGGAATATCATTATTGGTAGTAGTGGTGGAAGCCATTTGAGTTACTGTGATCCCCCCTGTCATGTCACCATTACGGGCCCATGCGGTCCCGTTGCGGACCATCCTACACACTAGTTAGTTAGTGGGGGTTTCCAGAGCAGGATGACTAGGCGGTCATGTGATGGATAGTTAGAAAAGCACTCCCGAGGCATAGATAGCAACGCAAACACCTTTCCACCTTTCCATTCTCAGTAGTCATCCCATAGTCTTCTCATCTCTTAGACCCCTACGTTTCGCCCGAGAAGGGGACGTAACGTGTTGTTGATATCCTGATCTTTTCAGATTCAGTCGAGAAATACCGAAAACACCTCAAGCAAGTGTTATCACTCCTCTAGGAACAGCAACTATACGCCTCGCCTACTAAATGTCCGCGCCACAGAAGAACTGGAGTACCGCAGGATGGTCCGCACGGGACCGCACGGGCCGTGATGGTCACATGACAGGGCACGTGCTCGTACATGATCACATTACAGTGTCCAGGTGGAAGAGCTCTGATTATACAGTTGGGGGTGGATCTAAATGCCTGGCAATATTATCCAATGAGAGAGTTATGTTCTGATGGTACACTTATGTAGTCGCCCGTACTGGCGGCCAAGTATATCTCCGGTCCGATATCGGCCTCGTTATCCTACCTTGAATAACTGCCCACTCTACAGAGAAAACATATAAGAGAGCCCATCAAACCTTTCGATAACCAGGAAAGAATTTACTAGGAACAACTCTTGAAATATTCTCACGTCTTGATTGACTATCATTTCCATTGTTCCTGACTGATATTCCACGCCAAGACTACGACTTCCCCACTTCTCCATATTTGCACCTGTCATATACCATGGCGTCCAATACGGAGGGTCCTAAAGACCACTGGTCGGCCGAAGTATGTATTCCTCCCGGCGATACGTGTGAATCATAATTAACAAGCCTAGGCATACTCTGCCTCTGCATCCTTCGTGCACTCCGCGAAAATCACCGGAAAACTCCTCACCTCTCTAGACCCCAAGCCAACAGACAAGGTGCTTGATGTCGGTTGCGGCGATGGAAAATTCACTGCAAACTTCCTCCCCGCCATAGAATCCGTCTTGGGCATTGACTCATCTGCGTCTATGATCGAGTCTGCCAACAAAGACTACGCAAGCCCCAAGGCCAGCTTCCGCGTTGTGGATTGCCGGTACCTGGAGAAAGAAGCCTCCATTGTCAATGGATCATGGGATAAAGTGTATGTCTTTAATTATAATACATGGTCCACCATGCATGGAACTCGACCTCTAACAACCAGACAGGATCTCCAACGCAGCCCTCCACTGGATCTTACGTGATGAGTCGACGCGCATGTCAACTCTCCGCGCAATCTATGGCTGTCTGAAGCCTGGCGGCACATATGTATTCGAAATGGGCGGACATGGCAATGTGGCCGAGGTTAAGACGGCCCTTGTCTGCGCACTGGTGCAGCAGGGTATCCCTGTCAAACAAGCAAATGAGACAAGCCCTTGGTTCTTCCCATCTGATACCTGGATGAGAAATGCTCTTGAAGAGATCGGTTTCAAGGTCGAGAACGTCGAGCTAGAGTACCGCCCAACAAAACTCACCACTGACGCCAAGGGCGGTCTGGAGGGATGGGTTAGACTGATGGGAGCCCAGTTCTTGGACGTGCTCCCCGAGGAAAAGCAGGATGCTGCAGTGCGCCAGGTTTGCGATGTGCTCCAGGACGTGATAACTCGTGGTGAAGATGGGAGCCAATGGCTGGGATATGTGCGACTCAGGGGTATTGCGAAAAAGATCTAATGATACAGATGATTTTTGTCGGAAATGGTTCAATTAGCAGATTGCTGCCGCTTCCGTCGCTCAATGAGAACACCAAGAGGGATGTCTTCCTCATCATAGAATTCTGCTTCCTCGTCCACCCCAAAGTCGCGTAGTCGTTCTCCTTCGGCGTTTCGCCAAGACTCTTCGCCCTCTTCTGAATAACCCCCGGAGTCAGTTCCGGACTCATCGCTATCACTTTCAGCGTAGGCACCTTTTTTGTACCGGTCGTGAAATGGCTTGCGACGCTGTACACCCGGACTTTGGAATCGCTTCATGTCTTCCTGTTTACGACGATTGAAGGCATCAATCTCGTCCTGAATACTTGCGTATGCAGGCATACTAATGTTATCCGACCTTGTACTAACCGGCACCGGGATTCGATCTGGGTCTGGAGGTGGCCATGATACACCAGGATCTAAAAAAGATCAGTAATTGAAAACCCACAATACTGACTCAACCACTCACCCTCAAAGTCATTGGTCTCGAATTCCCAGCCGGACCGGCGATCAGGTGATGCGGCCAGTGGCCAGAACCAGCTTATGACCTAAAAAGACATTAGCTTACGTGTTTGCGTGTCAATATTTGGACCATGAACAGGCATACTCACATTCGCGCTCCCGCCCATACTTTGCTTGATATTGGCCCAGATCCCAATGTCGTATGGATATTCCTGCTTTTTTATGTGAACTCGAATTCCTCCAGGGCCCTCAAGATACCCGCCCAGCACACGGGCTCGACGGACAAGAGTAGCATGCCTCTCGATTTCCCAAGTTTCAATGGTGGTAGTGTTAGATCCAATTGCCCATAAACTCCTAAGCAGGAGAACAAAGAGGGCGAAAGTCGTGAAACTATTTACTACCAGCAGTATGAACAAGTGGATGAGCTGCCCCAACGTGGGGCCGAGATACTATTCAACATTAGCCGCATGAATGATGAAAAGAAGTACCAGAGTTACTTACGCTTGGCAGATGACTGTTCTTCCATACAAATGATGCACGCTGCCAGAGAAGAGTTTCCAGATAGGACATGCCAACAGTCGCATAGAATAGAAAGCGCATGAAATGCGGGATGGTAAAATGTGAGACGCAGTTCGAGGTCCAGGGGCAATGATGATCCATTTTAGGAATGCATCTAGAAGAAGATCAGCAAAATCCTCCACATCAAGCATTCCTTATCTAACCTTTTACAGGTCTTGCAGTGGTGAGCGCGGGGCGGTTTGTAAGCTTCACATCTGCGACACCATCGCTGGCGACTAGCGAGTGCTTCACCTTCTTGCTCTTTGGGTTTCGGTCGCTCTTCAGCCTTAGGAAGTCGACCGGGATCTACAAAGCAGGTTCGATAATAGCATATCCAGATGCACAGAGCGAAGATATTGATGTTCCAAATTTCGTCCCTCTTGAGAGGCGCAGACTCGAAATGCAGAAACAAGTACTGTGATGTGTAGGCGAGGAAGGCGATTAGAACACTGACGGCGGGAATTGCGAGCTTAGTGATTGAAAAGTCCTCGCCCAACATTTCGGCGTCTTCAGCCGTTTGAGTGAGCAAGGCTAAGAAGCTGCAGAGGCATAAAGTTGGACGTTGTTTATTGAGGCTGTGACTATGATGACTAATGAGGCTGTATGTGCCTTCCTATTGGATGTTATTGCCAGGCAGAACTTTAGTCATCCACCATTCCTTCGAAGGTTGTTGTATGCATCTAAGGTTGCATGTTTTAGATAAAATTGCTTCAACTTGGCTGTCATATTCAAAGTCATAAGGGTAAGAACCCTATGACATAGCTTACCACTCATTTGGGCCGTTGAATCACTGACGCCACGTCTTAATTCAAGTTTAATAATCCGCTGTGTTGTTGCTGAACGACTTGTGTCACTCGTGAAGGTATTACTTGCTGTAGCTGCAATTTTCGACTCTAGCGTCATGCACGCATTGTGGATGATGCTCGTATGAACGGAAAGTGAAAGGATCTCAAGAAGGAATAAAGCTCGTGTTGGACCATGTTATAAGATATGATTTCCATCCTTTGCTTCGGCGAAGTCATCTCTAACATAGAGGATGTTATCCACAGCACTTCGCCTCAAGATATGAGACCGTCACTCACACACCAGGAATGATTTTCTTCTTCGAGTATGGTAGTCCGTCTCCTGTCTCTTGCATATGCCTCTGTCGAGTAATTGTAACAGTGGACTGATCACAGAAGTCTGAAAGGCGAGACGAGTAAAACTTTGATGAATTTGCCTATTGTGCCTCGTCGATGATTGTCGCAGAACACCCGCTCTAGAGTAGGCACTATGGGCGATGAAATCCACCCGGGAATTGTTGGAGTTCGAGTATCATGCTGGCCGGCATTGATATAAAGTGATCGAGTTATTATCGTTCTCCGTTTGAAGCCCAGGATGAAGAGAATCAAAAGGTACGATGAAAAGGACTAGACGGGTACAAACTCGGAACCCTAAAACCTCCATGTTCGAAGCTTGAAAGAGTGAGGTAAGATATAGCGACCGGTGGACAACAAAACAGTTTCATTGAGCAGGCCTTCGTCATTGAGAACCACATGACCCAGCAGTCTTTTGAGAGGTCTCGTAGACGGCAGGAAAAGGCAGGAAAAGGCCTAATTTTAAGATCATTCTTGATTATTTAGCAATAATCAAATCCATGAGCTTCAGGAATGGAATATGCTTTGCGCGATAGGGAAGAGACAGTAACGCAGAAGTGCAGTAAAACACTATTGGCACAGTCCTAGACAAGGAGAGTATGTTGGCCTGAATAATAAGGCATTAGCATAACGTGACCCAGGATGCCAAGACAATATCATCCTCCCATCCTCCTTCGCCGAGTCCACGTTCATCAACTATAAGCCATTGAAATCGTTCGCATGTATTTCTGGCCTTCGGTCACCTGGATGAGACAATTTGTGCTTTTGGAGATGAACAACTAATACCAACAACTAATACCAAGCGTGCAGGATGACAATTGAGGCTCTTCCCCAGAAGACAATCCGGGCGATTGGCTCCACATCTGCCATATCGGATCCCTGCTCTGTTGTCAAGGAACTTGTAGACAATGCCTTGGATGCTTCTGCCACGTCATTACAGGTTGAAATTTCCCAAAATACCGTGGATGTCATACAACTCAAGGACAATGGCCACGGAATCTCTCCAGAGGACCAGCAAAATGTCTGCAAACGAGCCTTTACCAGCAAGATCCAAAGTTTAGATGATCTCAAAAACGTCGGGGGTTCATCATTGGGATTTCGTGGTGAAGCACTTGCCAGTGTCGCAGAGATGTCTGGGCTTGTCACTGTCACCACTCGAGTTGAGTCCGAAGTTGCCGGACGATGTTTGAAGTATGGAAGAAACGGAGAGCTTACTGGGTATGTCGACCTCGCCAGATTTTTTGGCCTCTGTGCCACTACTAAACTTGCATCGCAGAACACAACGGACATCACATCCTGTGGGCACAACTGTTCGTATCGCAGAATTTCTCAAGCATATACCTGTCCGCAGGCAGACTATCTTGAAGGGTGCTGCAAAAAGTCTTACGAAGATCAAGAAACTTCTCCAGGCCTACGCTATAGCTCAACCGTTGAAGAGGTTCTCATTCAAAGTCCTCAAGACAAAAGGTGAAAATAGCAATTGGGTCTACGTGCCGAGCGCAGACGCGTCGCTCTCGGACGCAGTTCTAAAGATAGCTGGCACGGAAGTTTTTTCTTCCTGTGTCTTGAAAGAAAAATCAGATCAGACAGGATATGAAGCTGCGGCTTTTCTTCCGAAAAATATACAATTGGGTAAGCTCATCTTGTTGAATATCCATTGATGTGGTTACCAACCAAATCAGATACGGCGAAGATCAACAATGCAGGCCAATTCATCAGTGTAGATGGCCGCCCTCTGTCTAACAGCAGGGGTGTTGCCCACGAGATTGTCAAAAATTTCAAGCAGCATCTCCGTGTCGTCTTAAAGGAGTCCAGCGATCCTTTTCTCTGTTTACAAATTCGCTGTCCCCGAGGGACGTACGACGTCAATATCGAGCCAGGGAAAGACAACATCCTGTTTGAAGACCAAGATATAGTCTTGGCCTTGGTAGAGAATATGTTTCGCGACCATTACGGAACGGAGACGAGAAATTCCACCCAAGGGAAAGAGAATTCCTGCAAACCGAATGAGAGCTCAGGAGGATTCGAACTTTTGCTGGCTAGGAAGCCAGCAGAGCTTGCCGCACACCCTGGTGATCCTGACAACCCCTTTAGTTTAGCTACACCCTGCACGCCTCTCTCACAGAATCCGCAAGCCCTTTCGCCCCCGGTTCCTTCCAGCACTGTCAGAAGTAAGCAACCCAGCTTCGTCAATCCGTGGTCTGTGTCCAGAATAAATGCTTCGTTTCAAACACCGCGTCGCGGAAACAATTACCTCAATCAAACAAGCCCCGTGGATCTATCTAGCGGTAGCCTGCAGGAGCCAATCCAAAGAGAGGGTGAACCGCGAGTTGTCCAGCATTCGCCCAACTCAGCCCCGATAAGTCCTCTTACTTCAAGACTTGCATCTGGGTCGCCAGTGAAGCGCCGCCGCCAGCATCCACAAGAATCGACCGAGTGCTCCCCTGAAACTAATCGTATTTCGAGCGCCCGACGCGCTCAGAGGGAACGTGATCGAGACCGGTATGGGAACGGCGCTCTAGACACTTGGTTTCAGAGAACAACACAAGTCTCGCTGCAGAAAAGCCCTACTGAGGAAGCACCAACTCAAGAACCAGACTCACCGCTTTCTTTTCTTACCCAGCAACGATTCGGATTGCCCACGAACAATTTGCCAGATATTATGCATATCGATGGGCAGAACGATGGTTGTTCGGACAGTCCAGATCTGGAGAAAGCACTAGACTTCGAAAGGAGGAAGAAGGAAGCTATTCAGAACAGTCGGATGCGCGTCAGCGATAACGAGAAAACATCGAGTTCGCAGTCTGCTCCAGAATTTCATTCGCCTCATAAAAGTCGGTATCTTGCCGCAAAAGCTGCGTTAACTTCGTCGCAAGCTTCGGTCAGCGAGCCGGTCTCTGCGACAACGCTTTCCCCTCGTGATCCACGAGCATACCTCATTCGTCAGGCAAGGGATCATTCTACCGACGAAACTTTCACAAAGGACGGAAAGGCAAAGAGACTACCCACCAACCGACTTCCCTTCGAACGTATACCTGATGGCTCCGACCTTCATGATCTCGGTTTAACGCTCTCGGTCGACTTATCTTCCGGCTCGAACTTGTTCAAGTGCAATATATCAGAAAATCTATATACTGAGAATGACAACGAAACTACAGCATTCTCGACACCTGATCTTGAAACATGCGTGCCGTTCTGGAATGAACAGTTGATGCTTCTCATGAAGCAGAAATACAAAAACATGGATCAATCAAAGCCTTTGAATATGCACATTGATCTTGCCACCATTATTTCTCCGCATGTGCAAATAGCCCAAAGCAATTCAGGCTAGCTATACCTACCCACTGAATACCTCTTCCAAGGTCTTTTCTGACCGCCATACTCGAATACTTACTCCTAATATGTCTCATATTATCTACATCTTTAAAGATTACCTTATATTCTATAGATGGAATATCAGACCGTCATCATTCTGGGGTGTTTAGGGAAGGAGTGCTTATGTTGAAAAAAATGCCTAATGACCATTAAGTATTGGAGAAGAGAAATGCTACCGACACGCGGAAATTGCTACCGTCACGTTGAGATCTACCTAAAATAGTATGGCGGGTAACGTGTCGGTAGCAATTTTCGCGTGTCGGTAGTATTTCTCAAGTATTGGCTCCTACAAAACTGTCTGTTAACTATTCTATGGTAATTAATATTCAGAGAGCGGATCAGAGTTCTTATATTCTCACCGCCTTGATTCCGTAATCTGCGAATATATCAAGCTTTACAAGCGCATTATCCCATCGCAGCTCTTGAACATTGGCATTGCATCTCATCGTATATCTTCTTGCCATGAGATTCCGCACTTTCATCTGTGTGGTATCTTTCATCGTTCTGGTAGCGCTTCCAGTGCATCGATACCGAACATCCATTATCAATGCTAGCCCCCTCATCATGACAACGCTCAGCTCGGAAAAAGCACGTCTCCAGAAAGTGGCGGACCTTATGCTTGAGATATACGAGGAACTTTCCAGAATGCGCTATATTCAACGCGCGGGAATTAGGCGCGGGCCACACAACCTAACCCACCTGGAGGCTGCCTATGACGAGCTCGACCTGGACTCATCAATAAAATATCTCTACAGCATCCTACCATATATTGATCCGCTTGCTGCGGGGAAAGACTCATTCTCTCGAATCGGCGAGTTTACCGATTTCAGGGATATCGAGCAAGCCGAACGAAGCCGCGACCCATTTTATGGGGATCCCTCGGATCCGAATTTCGAGGATGAAAATGGCCCGTATATCCAGCCCTGGGTCACACCATTGACCAGCCTGGGTAATCATGGCAGCGTCATGTTATATGATGCACGCCGACATGTCATTTGGATTATTGATCAGGAGAGCTGGGACACGACCGATCCCGCTCTTGAAGGTCATCCGACGAAAGAACCGCAGTCGTTGAATCGGAATAGCTTTGAGCATATTCCGCACAGAAATGCTGAGGCGGCTCTTCGGGATATTTTGCGATCGTATCGCTCTTTAGAATGGATTCCAGGTAGTGGGGAGAACACCGGGCTGGAATGGGATGGGTCCATTCTTTCGTTAAGGGAGATGTACCTTGAAAATGGGTGGCCTGATGCGTTTAATGGAGATGCATTTGAGGTGGCGCAAGCGAGGTCATTTTGTGTATATATACTGCAGGAAGATACAGATCATAGGCTAGAAGGAGAAAACCTGGTGCACGCGGAAATGGCATGCTTGCGGGGAAAGCTTGAGGATGCGCGCGCCGAAGTGGACGATTGGAAAACAAGGACTCAAAACGAAGAGGACCCAGAGGAGCTCGAAGAACTAAAAAAGATGCTTATAGTATCTGAAGGAACTGTCGCTATTTATCAGAGAGCAGTCAAAGCAGCAGAAGCGGGTACAGGTTCTCAAGGTTAAATCGGTAATGTGGTTCATGGGCATCGATGTACATAGGCAAATCCAATACACTTAAAGATTCATCTCTGGAAAGAATCAAGGACTGGTGGATGTCTTAAGATCAGGCAAACCATAAAATCCGTTCATGTACCTCAACCGCAGCGATATATCAAGCCAATTCCAGTTCGAAATACTTCTACTAGACCGCACATGGTACAAATTCCCGTGGCCTCCGCCCGTGGTCAGATAGCTTATTGAAATTGTGACTGTCCAGCGCTTGTCATGGTTTTTGCCGAAGAATGCTTCGAGACGATGTCCATTATAGTTGCTCAACTCTAGTTAGAGTGTTTGCATTGTTTGTAACCCAATTTGGGGCCCCACGTGTTTTACTGGGCCGTGCGGAAGTCTAACTCCGTTTGGCCATTACATAATCTTGACATCAACATCTGAGCAGCACAACTAAGTCACAATACATTGATTAACCTTGTAGCCAACCCTCCAGTATTCCAGATCGTGTCCCAAATGGCATTTTTCATTCCCCCCTCTGTCCTAGAGAACCAGGCCCCTAGCGCTCTCCAATCCCCATCCTTCAGAAACAACATCACACCCGGCGACGTAGGAATCCTAAAATCAACCCTCCTACCGTCATTCAGTCTGTATTATAGCCTCTCACTCGCAACATACCTTGCAGCCGAAGTAACAGACAGAGTCGAACTCAAAGACTGGCTCTGGCCCTCCGCCCAAGTCCTCAATGCCTGGTGGACCGCCATCGGGCACCCGATTTTAAAACACAAGATCTCATTCAGAGAAGCTTGTGAGGCTCTACCATGGTCGGAAAGGGTTCTGCTAAGCTGCGTTACTATCTGGGGCGTGAGACTCTTTGCTCGGATTGCGTGCCGGTCATTGTCCCGCGGGACAGATGATGCGCGGTACGACGCAGCCAAAAAAGAGCGGAACTTTTGGAGACGTGGGTTTATGAGGGTATTTTTCCCGGAGGCTGTTATATTGAGTGTGATCTCTTTGCCGTTCACGGTCCCGTTCACTATGGGTGGAGCTACGCTCCCGATAGGCAATGACGGGGTGAATGTTGTTCGGGCACTTGGTGTTGGACTTTTTGCTGCTGGGTTTGCGTTGGAGGCTATGGCAGATACGCAGCTTGCACTGCATCGACGAGAACGGACGGATTTGTGTCGACATGGGGTTTGGAGTTTGGTGCGGCATCCGAAGTAAGTTTTCGTGATATGTATATCACCCTTTGCGTTCGATGACATGGACTGATGCTTGTCTAGTTATCTTGGAGACACTTTGGTCCATTTCTCCTTTGCCCTACTCAACATGGCTGGTCCATTTAATCCAGTTGTCATACTAGGACCTGTGACGAACTACCTATTCCTTCGATATGTGGGTGGCGATAAGGAAATTGAGGCTAGCCAGGAAGAGCGCTATCGGTCTCAGGATTCAGATAAGTATAGGCAGCTGCAACAGTGGCAGGAAGAGAAAAATAGTTTCTGGCCAAATTTGCGGGACTTGGCGAATCCATGGACATTGGCCGTTGTTGGTAGCGGTTTCATTGGCGTGGTGGCCGAGGAATGGCTGAGAGGGGTTTATGATATATAATGACGACATGCTAGTAAGACATGTACCTAGATGGCTGGGTTGTGGAGACTAAACATCAGGATTTGATCCACATATCAACATTATTGCTGAATTGCCTATCTATCCATACCGAAATCTGTGGGCAGTGAGATGATTTTAACTATATTTAGTCATAAACCAGCCCGTTGGGATAGTGGGCTTCCCCTTTTTGGTTGTTGTCTATCCACTTTAGTAAAAGCTGAACTCTAGACCTGCATATTCTCAAACCGTTTCCATGGGACCTGGCCGCTGCATAGGCTGCGAGTTTTTACATAGATACTCTGTACAACTTACATACTAGGTAAGATTAAGCTTAAGCTTTTGAGAAGGTTTATGTACGATCTCCCGCTGTACAGTCATATTTCATTAGTATTCCAGGGTTTGCACCCCGGTATGTACATGGGAAGGCCCGAGACCCGCTTTTCCTCTGCCAATAGAAAACTTCATACTATACTACGCGCATCATCGCGCACGCGTGCCCTGCGCGGGGTGTAGGAATAGATCGGCGGTGTGGAAAGAGCGGTCAATGCCAGAAGTACTGGGGCAAATTCTCATGAAATGCCACTGGAGTCAGGCTTGTTGATAATTTAGTATAGAGAATATGTATACAACAGTAAGATATACTCTGGAAGCTAAGGATAAACCCCATTTCGATCAACTTCAAGAGAACTATAGCCGCAACCTTAAGAGCCAATAAAAGTGCAAGGATAATATGTACAGTACTTCGTGGTCGTAAAGTTAAATTCGCGGCTGAGATTTATGTACTTCATTTCTTATTGTCAACCCTAATATAAAGCCCTAGAAACACATCGAGATTGAAGCCAAACAGTTTCTTGCTAAATCGAATATCTTCATATTTTTAGACAAATCTACACATGTCCACTATGTGGGTATGTGTCTACCGAAGACAATGCGCTGGCAACGGGGCTCACGTGACCACACCACACGGGCCAACGGCCAGTGTTTATTGTTTACCGCGTTGAGCAAACTGTTATGGTCCGACTATTTATTCACCATCCTTCCCCAACCCTCGATTGAGGTGTCGTTATTTGTTTTCCAAGCTTTGTACATTTCTGTTTCTTTAGCGCTTTGCATTTTGGTAAGTTCTATCTGTGTTCAGCTCTCCACTGAGGTCTAACTTGGTCGTTGCAGGGATACCAATATTGCCCGAACTTGATACCCTTTTGCAGACCGTCACATGGTCACTGTTTAATGATCTTTATGCGCGATACCCCTTCCGTTACACGCGTTCAGCTGGTGATATTCTCCTATTTCGCCTGTCATAACAAGAAGACCTTCCAATCATGGAGGCCCTCTCCCCGCGCACGACGAACCAGATGATCAAGCCGAAGGTGGCGATTGATCGCAAACCGTTCGATAAAAATGCCCCGCCTCCGAGTAACAAGCAGAAGCTTGCAACGTCCAAAAGCTACGCCGATCCGCCACCGTCGATAGTCTCAGAGCCGGAAGATGGCGGTGAGCGATACTCGATAGGCGCATTCTTAGGGAAAGGCGGTTTCGCTGTTTGTTATGAGGGTACATTGGCTCGAAATGGCCGGGTGTATGCCATGAAGGTCGTCAAGTCAGCGATGTCTCAAAAAAAGATGGAGGAGAAGGTACGAGCCTCTGGATACGGACCAAGCATTTGACAGTGCCTAAACTTTTGTCGCAGTTTCGAACCGAACTCCAGATTCATTCTAAAATGCGTCATCCTTTTATCGTCCAGTTCTACCGTGCATTCGCTTTCGGATCCAGCACCTATGTCGTCCTGGAGTTATGTCCCAATGGCTCGGTGATGGACATGTTTCGGAAACGACGCTGTTTCAGCTTGCCAGAAGTGCGCCGGTATATGATTCAGCTTTGCGCAGCGGTGAAATACCTACACAAACGCTTCGTCGCTCATCGTGACCTGAAGATGGGAAATCTGTTCCTCGATCACAACATGAACATCAAGGTTGGGGATTTTGGTCTGGCGGCTATGATCATGTCCGACAAGGATGCCAAGCGACGGAACACGCTATGCGGCACACCCAACTATATCGCCCCCGAAGTTTTGGACAAGAGCAAAGGCGGGCATACACAGAAAGTTGATATTTGGTCCGTGGGCGTAATATGGTAAGAACACCGCGATATTACTAGGAAGTCGTTGAACTAATGTTCGCATTTAGCTTTGCCATGCTCGCAGGATACTTACCCTTTCAATCCAAAACCCAAGATGAAGTTTACAAAAAAGTCCAGAATCTGACTTACGTCTGGCCTAATGAATCAGAGTCCAGCAACTACATCCCCGAGGAAGCAAAAGATCTAGTCAGTCGTTGCTTGAACCTGGTGGACGAGGAGCGACCAGACCCAGACGATATTGTTGAGCACCCATTCTTTAACATGTATGAGGGTTGCATTCCTCGTCAACTAGACCCCTCGTGCCGATTCAATAAGCCACTATGGCTCAGGGACGCTTCACCTCAAGGCGATTCTGTGGTACATGGGTACGGCTTGGACTCGGATGAGAAGCTCCGCGCGTACGTGTACCAGGTGGACGACCCCGCTCAGCGATATCATTCCTGCAAAGCGGCCTTCTACTCACTCTGCGGCGTGGGACGCAAGCCTGACGGGACGGCTCGGAAATCCGTTGGCAGAAATTGCGCAAAGTCGGCCTTTTCTGAGTGTGATGTGGAGGACTCCAGAGGTCTGCGACCCGTAATACCCTTGTCGCCGGATTATGTTTACCGATGGCCCCAAGACCTGGATGGAGACTGGTGTGTTTTGGAGACGTCCCGAAAGGTAATGCGCCCTGAGGAGTCGATGCTTAAAAGCAGCACTATGTCCAATCGGAGTATTTCTGCTCGTCCCAACCCTATGGCAGCGTCACGGACCAATGCCGCTCTCGTCGCTGCTCAACATCGCCGAATGGAAGGACAAAGCCATGCCGCAACGCTACGACAGCAAGCTCGAGTGCCACCTATCTCTCCTCGGAGGGCACCTGTGGTCCCCGATCCTGCTGTTCTGTCCTCCAGGCCATATCGAGATAGTCCAAAAGCCGAGCCAAAACCTCTGCCCGCTGTGGAAGTGCCAATTGGAGGGCTCGCAGAGCGTCCTATCCGGACACGAAGGATGGCATCCGCTACCCAAGCAGCGACAGCGACAGCAACGCTGCGTAGCAAGGACAAGGATATTGCTCCACGATTAGCCAAATCCACAAGCATGCCATCAGGCTTGACTGTAGGCAAAACACGCTCTCAGTCTCGCAGATTGGCAGCTGCTGACCAGGAGCTGATGCAGCCTTCTATTTCAACCAGAGAACGACAACCAACCGCTAGGCTGGAGGAGCGAAACGTGATCGCCAATCAGAAATCCCTACGGTCTATATCCAAAGCAGATCTGAACACTACTGCTGGACGAGGCGACAGAGGGAGAGCCAGCCCATCTTCACTGGCACAGTCGAAGTTTTCTGAATCTAATGGACATGGTCGATCAAACTCCAATGGTACCGCTCGGTCTGACGGCAAGACGGCTGGCACTAGAGCCCGCTCTAGCTTGGGGCTCAGTCCTATATTTCACACAGCAGATGTCTGCAAGCTTCTACCCAGGACTTCGTTGACCGATGTCAACACCGACTTGCGTCTCATGCTGACCAACCTGGTCGACCACGCACCAAGTAGACGCAGAGGGGGAGCACGAAAACAGCCCCATGCCTATGTCATCAAATGGGTCGACTATACCAACCGTTATGGTATTGGGTATGTTCTAGATGATGGCAGCGTTGGATGTGTTTTCAAGGCAGAAAACGGGCAGCCGGCAACGAGTGTCGTGCTTCGAGATGGCGAGAGACATATCCGCCGAAAAGCCCGTAGCGTCGTGGATGGCAAGCAAAAGCCAATTTACTATTCCGAGGCTGATCAATTAGTTCCTCGCACTGGAACCTCGGTTGAATTTTATGAGAACTGTGACGATGATCTGCTAGGATGCCGCGGCATCCGACGAGCTTTGATATCGCCCTCACTGTTCGATGTCAAAAGCTCGAAGGCAATGAGAGTTCGTTCCAACACAGGAACCGAGATTGAACGAGCCGATGCAGAGAAAATCAAGAGGATGAAACTTGTGGATCAGTTCGGTAAATACATGATCGGAGCCCTTGGTCGACATGGCGACGAGGGGATTATGGATGAAGATCTACCTCAACACAACAGTGCCCAGTTTGTCAAGTTCTACCAGCGCTTGGGCAATGTCGGCATCTGGGGTTTTGGGGATGGTGCCTTCCAGTTCAACTTCCCCGACCACACAAAGCTAGTGATCTCGCCGGGCCGCACCCGTAGCTCATCCCCCTGGGTCGACTTCTACCATCTCTCGGCCTCCGCCGCTCGATACTTCGCCGCAAAAGGCAAGATGCACCCAGCAGGATTCGACACTCGGGCTGTGGCCTCCGACGAGGCTGCTACGTTCCTCAGCATTGCGGGCGGAGATTCCATCAATTCGACCGAAGACCGCATCCGGGACATCCTTGATGCGAACGCCTTCGTGCAGAAAATCACCTTCATCAAAGATACCCTCAGAGTTTGGATTGAATTCGGGCGACTTGGGGGTCGTGCGCCCTCGGTTGACCCCGCTTCTGCTGATGAATCCGTACCCGACGAAGCATTCTGGCAAGGAACACAGGAGCGTTCGCAGCCCAATAGCTCCGGAACGAAGTTTGTCTGGGTGACTGTTGGAGCACCAGATGGCGATGGTCGCTACCGCTCTATGATGATCAAAGATAATAACCGGGTGACAAAGCCTGCCGGGATGGAATATGACAAAGAAATGCAGCTACTCAAAGACCGGCTACGTGCACTTGGTCGTTGATCCAATCTCTTTACTCCTTCTGCTATTTACCATGGCTACTTTACGATGTCACGACCATTCGTTGTTGTTTCTGTGATGTGATCCTTTATGTTTATTCTTGTGGGATGTGATCACGAATGTTTGAAGTTCAGCTTCCAGGTTGTCGATATCGTTGTATAACAGCGTTTTTTTCTTTTTCGGCTACTTGCAGAAATGTACATGTCTTGCACTGTCTCGTATCACTGCCCATGTGGCGTCCGTCCTTTCTAATCCGTATGTTTAAACCCGCTTGCTCCTCGGGATCTTGCGTATTGTATAGTTTCCTTATTGAAGCTTTCCCGCGCATCTAGCCGTAAAAGAGCCCCGGCAACGTCACATTCGCGGGGGCGGGCGCGGGGGGGGGGGGGGGGGGGGGGGGGGGGGGGGGGGGGGGGTGGGGGGGGGGGGGGGGGGGGGGGGGGGGGGGGGGGGGGGGGGGGGCGGGGGTGGGGGGGGG